TACATGTGTTGTTCTCTCACCTGTTTTACCTGCGTTATTCTCTCACCTTGTTTTACCTGCGTTATTCTCTCACCTTGTTTTATCTGTGTTATTCTTCCATCTGTTTTATCTGTGTTGTTATCTTACCTGTTTTACCTGTGTTGTTATCCCACCTTTTTCAACTTTAATAACTGGATTATACTCTCATATACAGTATATTCACATTTCATTTAGTCTGTTTTCTACAGTTTTAAACTGAACTGGTTCTGTTCATGTGAGGATTACTAGAGAAGATCTCTAGGTAAAACTACAATAACTCACACTGTCTATCAGTAAATCTGTGACAACTATGCAAAACTACATACTTAAACATTGTAACTTACCATAATATTGCAGTTGAAGATATATATGTTACCCATCCAACATGAGCAGTTAACCTTTTATTCTCTGAAAAAGATAAAAAAAAGATTAACAAAGTTTGTTTATATGACAATAACCATTATTTTGTATGGTTGTGATCACATAATGGATCATTTTTATTAATCTATGCACATAGGTATCTCTCACACCCCATTGTGGGACAGGGGCCCGGGCCCTTAGAATTGGGAAAAATAATGGTGTTTTCCTTAGAATTGGGAAAACTTTGGGTCTAAATTGGGAAATAAAGATACTATTTTATTTGGCCCTAAATCTGGCAGATCGAGAGCCCTGGGTATGTCTGATAATATATTGTTTCAAGACAATTCAACAAATTTGTGTTTTGTGCTGTTTTACCATCAAATCATTTTCGATTACACCATGTCTTCAACAGTTCCAGTGTTTCATTGCATTTGGTGATATATATATAATATGAATGAATTCAGTAAAATCACTAACTTAAGTAAGCAATATCAGAAGTTCAAACAAACAAGGGATATCATTGATTCACAGACGCAGCAGCACTCAGTTGAATAAATGAAAGTACATGACATACTGCTTCACATAGGCAAACCAACACCCCAATTATGAAGTCACAGTGAAAAGGTCACAGTGACCTACTTATGGTTCATGACGGTCACTAATGTGAACCAACACTCTGTGTATGAAGTTCCAGTGACAAGAAATGTAGGAAATGGAGCCTGTATAAAATTTTTCTTATATTGGTCTTGGTGCATGACACTCTGTCTCTCTAAGGTCAACACATGCCTATAGCCTTCAGTTCCAGTGACAAGTAATGTAGGATATAAATCCAAGAAAGAACAAGTGCTGAAGGGTGTTTATTGTGTTAAAATTGATAGCCACAAACTTAAAACAAGAGGCCAAAGAGGCCCGGATCACTCATCTGGCTAAGTTTTAAAAATTGCTTCAACTTGGACAAAATCCTTGTATGGAAGAAGGATTTTTAAGAACTTACATTTCCCCATCAGATGCCTGAAAGATGAGGGTGTCGCCTCATGGCATAAGCTCACCAGTCATTTGGACCAGGTGAGCTAAAAATGCCTTAAAGAAAACACAAGACAAACAGCAACAACAAATGCCTGTTACCGTGTGACTGTTCCATAACAGGTTAAATACAGATCATGACATGTCCTTCTTGCTAAGCTAAAAACCCGTAATCTGTATTTAATGGAAAATTTTACTCAAAGACTTCAAAATGTTATTGTTTCATTCTGTGTGATTGATCAAAATGTAAGGACTGCATACTATAAGACATAACCTGTTGTTTGCTATCAACATTGACTAGCAATATATCAGGCCTGCTAATTGTGTCTGCTTTACTTATCACACATCCTGTCCTGCTTCAAGGATCATAAAGGGTGTACGTAACCAATTGTTACAAGTAAGTATTGATTTATAGTTAACACTGGAATAAACATTAGCATATATTCAGACATAATTTTAGATCTGAACAAGATAATGAGATAAAATTATCCATTTTCATTTATTCATTTTCTAGTTACCAGCGTGGTATTTTTGGCTTATTGTTCTGTTTTTATTTTTTCAGGATGCAATGTTTTTTTTTAAATGTATTTATAAACTGATATGGCATGGAGGTGTGCTCACTGGGTAAGAAAAGAAAAACGAATATTTAGCAAACTCACTTTTTATAAGATGAACTGTTCCTCCAAGAGTTGTTCCTAAGGTCATTCCTGCAAGTGTTGCTTTCAAGAAGGGATCTGAAGTTTGGAACCATTCTACCCATGTCAATTTCCTCTGTTAAAAAAGTGAAAGAAGAGAAAACAATATCAGATGAAGTACTAAACGTCAAAATAGACGCAAGTGGATTTGATCACAATTTTTTCTCAACTCCCAATGTATTCATTGATAATTATTATATGTTATGTTTAAAAAATTGAGATGTCTATGATATCGCAAATGGGGCAAGAAGCATGATCTTATCATGAATAACTCAATTGTTACACTCGAGCTCATAAATGTTAATGCGAAGAAAAAGAAATAAGAACGGAAATTTATAATTTGACCCAAAATATTAAGTGTAATAAATGCAATTCATGATTTTTGGTGTTTGTGACACTGTACATTGTAGTAAAAATTGTACATGTGTACATGCATGTAGACGTCGGTGACATTGGAATATAATGAAGGTACATGGACTGTCAACAATAGATCATCTGATCTTCAAGGAAGATTTAGTTGATCATTGCTTCACATCCAATTAACAGCCAGGGTAATTTAAGGATGTGCAAGATTTAGACGATGGAGGAGCCAGAGAGTTCCCGGAGAAAAACCACTGCACCTGTGACCAGTATCTGGAAACTTCCCCATATATCCCCCTCCCTCTCCTGTAGGTCTTGAACCAGCAACCAAGAAGTGGAGGGCTAGAGATCAAGACAGTCAGATGCCTTAAATTCAACCACCTCAGCTGCTTAAAGGCAGAACTGCACAATGTATATAGCTTACATGTACAGTGCTCATAAGAAAAGAGAAGACACGAGAAAGGAATGCCAGTGTTTGTATACTTATTGCTGTACAGTACACAACGAAAAGGTGTGGCTTGTACATATGAATATTAAAATACTGTCTCTGTCATTCAGTTGATGGAGCACAAAAGGAAATATGCAAAATGATTCTTTAGCTGATTTGATAAATCTGGTTTGATTCCTGCAGGGGCTCTCGCCAGCAAATGTGTTATATTCCCTGTTCTGTTACATATTGTATGAAAGTGTTTCGAAATTAAAGGATAAGCTTTAACAACACATTCTATGGTGGATGCACAGGGACTTGGAATTAATTCTTGAAAATTATTCTTGAAATTATGAATTTTGAATTAGTTATGAATAATTTGTAATTTAGATTACATACATGTTGGAAGTCAATATCCAAAATACAGATTGCTGTTTTCCCAGTTTAAACATGACTTTACAACAATTATAAGTATTAAAAGATAAATAAAAAATGTGCAAATCTTTCATGACAAGAGAATGGTAATTTAAATCAGAGACAGCTACCTCCCTTCTCAGATGTGTTTTCTTCAAGTTTTTTTTCATATAAGAGATGTACTTTAAAAGGAACTAGTGTTTAAGTAATGAGTAATATAGGTGACATTCCCATATACAACTTTAACTACAGATCAGCTTGAAACAAGACATTCTTTAATCTGCTTTGTTTATGTCTTGTTACAGCCTGTGTACACTACATACACAAGTTGACAAATGTGTAGAGTACTTTCTTTTAAGGCCGTTTTTTTTTTCATATTGTAAAATAAACTTAAATGTATGCACCACACAGTCATTCTTTTCCACCTAGGTTAAACTGTGCATGGCCTCTTATAATTAATCCAGCAACATTTACTGTTGGACAAAAACCTAGACAAAAATGTCCCAGCATCATAACTGCTTAAATTCACTATATGAACCTATGAAGACATATACCACAGGACTAAAGGATCTGCTACATTGTGTATGTCTTGTTATCAAAGAAAGATATACCAGTTGCTGCATGACCATAATCACCAGGGCTCTCACACCCCATTTTGGGACTGGGGCCCGGGGCCCTTAGAATTGGGAAAAATAATGGTGTTTTCCTTAGAATTGGGAAAATGTCAGGTCTAAATTGGGAAAAAAGATACTATTTTGCATTGGGTATATTCGGCCCCAAATCTGGCAGATCGAGAGCCCTGATCACAATCATTTAACTGCAAGCTTTTCATCACTTTGAATTTTTAGAGAGTTGACAGGCATATGCATAAATGGGAAAAGTGGTAGGAGTAATAAAAGGCATTATGTCGGGGTTCAGTGAAAAACATCCTGCCCGCTTGGGTTCGATCTGGTGATCCTTTGATATCTAACCAGATATGCACTCTTTTGCTTCACTTCAGGGAACTTTTACACCACCCATACGCATGCATCACTTCATTCACAAAAACAATCCACGTTCTTTAGCTCGATGCACGTCTCTCAATCTTCTATTACTTTTTAACGATTGGAGCACAGGTACTTGTGGACTCATTTTATAAGGCTTATGTGTGCTTTGCTATTTTTAAATGCTATTGAAATTGAGTCAACATGTACAAGTATCTGTGCATTGGTGTGCTCAACGGCACCAAATCTGTAATCATATTATGTCATAGTGCAAACGCATGTTTTCTTCGTGGACAAATATCAGAGAAAACACATTGTGACAATAAACGATACGAATGCGTCTTACTTCAGCACTTGGGTCATAACTGTCCGGCAACGGCATTGCGTTCTTGAGCTCCGTTCTTCTCTTCTCTGGTTAACGAATCTTGGTCACAGCAACGCTTCAAAAAGTTGAAGGTCGGGAGCTCGAGGCTGACGACATATCTGATTGTATAACTAATTTCTTGATGGTTAACTTTGTCTGTGTTGTTTATAATTTAATAAATAATTCATTTTCTGATGTTGTATCAGTTACTGAGTTTAAATAGAAATTTAGATCTCTAAGACTCTTTATAAATTATGAAAAATGATAGATGTATTTCCGGATGATAGAATTAATTTCCGTCTTCCGTGTTCAATTTTAGTAAGTTGGCACGTTGTTGCCCTTCATCGTGGTAGTACGTATGCGTACTTACCGATGTTACCTGCGTTAAGATACGTTTTGGACAATGATACGTAACAGTTTCGTGGCATCTAGCATCTTTTTTGGGATAGGGTCATATTTGTATATCAAGAAATCAAATGAAGATATGAAAAAGGTATGAACACTGGCTTCTGGCAAGTATTGGCTACAAAGTGAAAGTACAATGTATTTGCATGAATAGTGACAGATCACAATATATACATATACATGGACCGTGGGTCGAGAATTCATGTTCACATACACTATTAATGTTACAGGAACACATGTGCTCTAAATTCTTGTAAGGACCGAAGCGTCGATACTTCGAACCCAACTGGACACAGTCATTTGCATTCCCGCTTTGATGGCATTCATACCTATTTGATATGATTTTTTACTCGTAGATATACCCTATCTCACCCTCAAAAATCACTTTTACGCCACAGACATGTGAGTTTTTCAGAGTACACCAGAGAGAAAAGCAAGGGTTGTTTTCAATAAACCATTTTTCACATTGATAGACCCATTCTACATTTTCTGATGCAGTCTCATGAAAGATGTGTACTTTACAAGAAAATTGCTCTTAATTTCACAGTCCTTTCAATGTATGTGCTTTTCAGAGCAATATGGGGTTATGCAGGCCACTATACCATACCGATAGTGGATCATAGAGTGTTCTGGTAATAATTGCTCTATCACATTATACAAGTTTCCATGAAGTTGGGTTTTTAATTACAATGTACTTTGTTGAATTAAAAAAAAAAAATTGATTAAATTCACTTTAATATATTAAGTCATTTCATGACCTCATCCCATCAAAGTACATGGTATGCAAAATATTATATACAGGACATGTAAATGGTGTCCAGAATTTCAATTCAACTGAAAAAAACTATATCTGTGTACGCTAGTAACATTATTCAGTGTATAAACTTACAGGCTTTGCAAAGATTAATAATTCATTGCAATATATGTTGGTAAAAAATTTATAATGACAGTTTTGTTTTATACATTTCAGATGCTGTTAGAAAAGGGATATATGGACGAAAACAACCAGTTAAAATCCAAAGCTATGAAAAATATACTGGGGAGTGATTACTATAGTTCCGTAAAAGTTGATACGCAAGAAAAAGAAAAGTCAGAGAAGATCTGATATCAAAGAACTGCTCGTATCTTTTGACTGAAAATGAGACCTCTTCAATTAACCTTAGCTATTTTCAAACCAGATGTGTCTGCTCAACCACACATTGTCAAGGAAATTAAAAAAATCCTTTTAACAAACAGTTTCTATTTTGTGAGATCTAAGGAGTTGTATTTACCTCGTAAAAGGGCTGAAGAATTTTATAAGGAACATGAGGGAAGATTCTTCCATAACAGACTAGTAAGTTTCATGTCTAGTGGCGAGATCTCTGCGCATATTATGGCAAGAGACAATGCGATTAAGGAGTGGAGAAAGTTGATGGGACCCACCAAAGTCTTTCAGACAGTTCATTCTGATCCGAACAGCATCCGTGGACAGTTCGGACTTACTGATACGAGGAATTCGACTCACGGATCAGATTCTGAGGAATCGGCACGAAAAGAAATGCAATTTTTCTTTCCAGAGTTCAACGTAGACCAGTGGTACAAAGAAAAGGAACCTTATTTTCAAAATGGAAATGTTTCTTTTTATGAGGAAAAAGGAATACATGTTGAAGACATACCAAGTGCTCACATTTTGAAACAAGAGACGTCTTGATTTAGATCAAGAACTGTTAAGAATTACTGCTGTTAGGAATATCATCAATTGATTTTCAAGAAGAGAATAGCTACCACACAGGATTGCATTTCACATAGATTTTGAGATACAGTGTCAATCTGTGTATGCACTGACAAAGAAATGTTGTTATCCCCCATTCAGAATAGTTTTATAGGATTTGGTTTTTCTATATTAATGAGAAATGATACAAATATATGATATATAACTCTACCAGTTCCAGCTATGATTGATTTATATTTTTGTATAAGTGTTTAGAACATTTTCAATTTAATATTACAAGTTATGTATCATTACCACTATTCTATTTTACATTGTAGATAGCAAAAATTCAGGGTTTTGTAAATAAAAATTGAACCAATAAATGAGGATGTTTTTGAATCAATACGATGTTCATGTCAACTCTCCTGTCCGATGTTATAATCTGCCTGTGACACAGGGACAGAGGGGTCAATAGTTTGTTTAAATGAATGACCTTGACCCATTTTCAAGATCATAGCTAGGTGTCAAATGCAATACAATCCTGAAATTCTTTCTTTTTAATATCCCCAACACCATCAGCAGTACCTTGGAATTTCATCATTTTGCATACAATATATAAACTGACTGTAAATGGGGGTATGCTGCTGTTTCAAATGAAACTGATTAAAGTTTTACAACTCTGTGTGTTTTTATCTTTCGCCAATGGAAATTTTAAAACACTGAACCCAGAGTGAAGTACATTTACACAGAAATGTCCTGGTCTTCGGTATAGATATGTAAAATATTAACGGTTAACACTCATCCTCGATAATTCATAGGAGTACCATCTTTTTCGCTCTTTAAAGAGAGCGAAAGTGATCGTAATCTCTAGAGTACATTCTCAGCCCCCATCCTCTGTCAGGCTTATGGCTATAACATCTATGCTACATTGTACTGACAGAGTGAAATGAAGGACAGTAATTAACTCTGGGAGATAAGAATGCTGGAGTATCAAGGATGGGTTAACACTCAACAAACCATCGTGCTAAACATCAAAGATATTTACGTTCAGTTAGTTAAGATTTCTCAACCTTTTGATTATACTCTGATTATATTTACTTGATCCTCAGTTTCTGTAAGCTTTCTACCTGTGTAATTCTGGGGTTTGCTATCAGTGTCTTATACCTTTGTTACTCTTTGGTCAATATCCATTTATCTATGAATAAATGGTGGCATAGTTACTAAAAACGGGTAACCAGGTAGGATACTTAATCGGGGAGAGATTTTTATGGGTTTTTTTTTACAATGGACAGACTTAAACATTGGTAAATTTTCATCTATTCTGATTTTAGAAGCAACAATGTTGCATGGATGCTGCAATGTTGGAGCCAAGGCTGTTTTGTTCCCACATCAATCCTCTTATTGGTGACATTGGAAATGTAAAACATTTTTTATATTTCATTACAAATTTCAGTTTTTGGTTTAGTTTCATACTGAGGTCTTATCAACAACCAGGTTATTTTAAAGTACAGCCTCCCAATGTTTGCGACATGATTGAGTACATTTTGGGGGACTGCATGCCGAAGCCCCAAGCAGGACACCTCACTCAGTCACATCACTGAACCTACACATGCAAACCAGTTGTTACACTACCACAATGCCAAATGTTAAGCATGAAATAGTTGCTACCATATACTCCAAATACAAGATTTTAATCAGGAGGGAAAAAAAATAGAAAACTTGAAGTAAATGAACAAAACTTACTTATGTTATATTTCATTATTCTTTCCCAGGAGATGCAATATATGCCTTGACTGATCAATTTTCTGTAAAATGGGAACAAATTTTCAGGTCCCCAGTGTTCCCAACAGTACAGTGTGGTAGCACAATAAAATTGGCTTCACTGGTTCCACACCATTGCAAATAAGGCTTATAATTACATGAAGTTTCGCCATGAGCACCAAGCACATGCACTCACCTTGCAAGACAGTCCTGCAATGACCACAGATATTGTTAGTACGTTAATGAGTCGTGATTATTATTAAGACAAAATTGAATTGTACATTTTGCATTTATTGTAGCCCCATTTTATGAAACATGTATAGATGGGCATACTAAAGGTAAGTGACTTTAAACAGAATAATTCGCGTGTAACAGTACAATTTGAATAAGTTTGAAAGCTTACTTCTTATTAATGATCAGAGTCATAAAAATACATAAAGAAGTCAATAAACAAATGTAAAAATTACAAATCATATGTACTGTTTATATATACATATATATATACATTTCTTATAATGTATATTTGATTGAAATCCGGAATGAAATTACTACTTTTGTTTTTTATAATATCCCATTTTCAAACGTCTCGATGACTGTGATTTTGTGTTATACAAGGAATCGTAAAGCCGACAATGTCATTAACTTTCTATGTTGCTTCTCGTGTGATTCCTATTTTAACCATAGGAGGTGTTACGTGTTATTTCATGTCTAAGACTGATGACATGACAATAGAGGTAATTACGAATGTGATATTTAAAAAATGATTGAATGACTGATCAAGTTGGGCACACTTTCTGTTGGGTTCTGATCCTGACTACAGATTGGACTTGGTCCGAATTATTCTGATGTACTGTTGACTCCGAGCAAACTCCAGACCGGTATATCAAAAGGCGATTGAACGTCAGAATAAGTCGGACTAAGATTATTGTACCTGTATCCGCGATTTTATTTCTAACAATATCGCACCTCAAAACTGGTTTATACATTGCGATTTGTTTCCAGCTGATATATACACCGTTATCGGGACCTCCTTCTATAAATCTTTGTCAGGGAGCTAAAATTGGATGTTAAAAACAGTATAAGACGGAATAGATTTTTAATAAAACAATGAAATGAAAGGAAATACGTTGAAAAGCCTTGAACTATATTTGAGAAACTGATATGTAGCAATTTAACAAAACGAAACGGCCTCTTTTCCTAGGCAAGCCAAGTTATTTGCCTTGCAATTTGCCTTCTAGGAAACTCATGATGTGATTAAATTTCCCTCTGCTGTGTCATTTTGGGATGGAATTGGTTTGGCGTTGATGGGGGAGAAGGGGATTTGCCTATCATCATGGTGCAACAGTTCAAGTTTGTTTCAAAAGATTTTCATAAAGCAATGTATGATCAAGGTATTGTCATAATGAAAGTATTAAAGAGATAACCATTGCAATGACTGACAATGATTTTGTTCATTTCAGAGTCGTAAGCAGCAAGGGTATGAGTTCAACCATGTGACTGCTAACTATAGGAGACAATTTATGGAAAAAGCACAAAAGAAAGACTCAGAAGAAACATCAAGTTGACAAAGTATCACATCCATTTGTCGTCAGCATAGGATTTGGTATCATGTTCCAGATGCTTGTAAAACGTTTCTACTTCTTGAGGATAGCAAAAGGACCTGAAATGTGATTCATATGCATTTGGCATCATCCTGTCTGTAAATTGTGGAATATGGGGGCCTTGGACTTCATTGACTTCAAAAATCATCTCTACAATGATTCAGATGACAAGAAAGGACATGACCGCTTCATGTCTCTTACTTTGTGTTACTTTATTTACATTGAAGAACATTTATGATATGTTTCCATTTTGCCAAAATGTATTTATACTGTTTTGTAAGATGAAGTAATTAAAGAGTTTAATCGAAGAGTGATCAAGACTTTTTTTGGACTCAAAATAGCACAATATGTTCCTACACATTTCTAAACGACAGGCAACTTTATAGCTATGATACATATACATTATCTTCTTCAGTTTTATCTATTTTGTGGTTAAGAAAGTGGTTAGATCAATTACTACCTGTGAACATGACTCATATGTTGAATAGATACATTCAAATAGTTGGAATATTAATATGGAATACATATGGTATTACAAGTAAATGTTTTAAGTGAAAGTAAGCATGAATGATTCTATTTGAACTGTTTAATGAATACGAATGTGCCCCTCCCTCTACCCCACAATATGTACTGATTATGTGAAAGACTCGTCCAAAATATAAAAATGCTCCATTTTTAGATCACTTGGCCCAATAGTGCGGCGTCTGTCGTCCGGCGTCCGTCAACTTTTCATTTAAAGAACTTCTTCTGAAATACCGAAAGGCATAGAGTTATCATATTTGACTGAAAGGTTCCTTTGATGAAGCCCAACAAATTTTTGAAAAAGAAATGGCCTTGACCCATATTCAAGGTCACAGGTCAAATGTGTTAAAACCTCTAAGCGACTTCTTCCAAAATACCGGAAGGCCTAGAATCATCATATTTGGTTGGAAGGTTCCTTTGATGAAACCTAACAAAGTTTGCAAAAAGCAACAACCTTGACCCATATTGAAGGTCACTGAGGTCAAATGGGTTAAAACATTTCAGAGACTTCCAAAATACTGGAAGGCCTAGAATCAATATATTTGGCTGGATAGTTCCTTTGATGAAGCACAACAAAGTTTGCAAAAGAAAAAAATAAAAAATAAAAAACCTTGACCCATATTCAAGGTCACAGAGGTCAAATGTTTTAAAAACTTGACGCGACTTATTACAAATTACCGGAAGGCCTAGAATCATTATATTAGGCGACAATGTTCCTCTTATGGTGTCCTACAAAGTTTGCTAAAAGAAATGACCTTGACCAATTTTCAAGGTCACAGGAGTCAAATGTGTTAAAACGTTTAAACAATTTCTTCTGAAATATCGAAAAGCCTAGAGTCATTATATTTGGCAAAGTATGTTCCTTTTATGAAGTCCAAGAAAGTCAAAGAAATGACCTTGACTCATAGTCAAGGTCGCAGGGGTCAAATGTGTTAAACATTGAACATATGCACAGATATAGTAATGTTGGTCATAAAGATCCAGGTGAGCGATACATGCCCTTTGGGCCTCTTGTTTAAAGCTTGATTAATGTTGTTGAATGTAAATTCAGTTTCAATATATACAAAAAGCAATTCTACATCATGACAGACAATTAGGCAGTGATGACAAATTGTACAACTAGTCGTTATTACTGTGTCATACTATATGCTTTACAGATGTAGAATCGGTTCGATCATCCTCGAAATTCCATGGGTTATGATCACTTAATGAAAGTGGTAGTACAAGGAATAGTGTGTATTTCTAGCGCATGTGTTGATCGAATCAGGTAAGATATTGATTGACTTTTTAAAAATGAATATCAGATTCTATCAAAACGAAATTACAATATATCAGGATCTCTAGTGAATAAGATGAACATTATCTCTTTCAACGACCTAAAGAGTGTTGGTTCTCTCTAATATTATTTTGAATATATCAAGATGTACTGTCGCCCCCCAATGGTGTAACTCGAGAAGTGAATTACATCAGCTTAACCAACACGTTTAGAACGATCTCGATGTTGACTTATGGTACATAATAAGTAAATATTGAATTTCTGGTGCATATTTACAATTTGACTTTACCATAAATATTATGTTTACTCTTTGGTAGACTTCAATTCTGATCACTTTTCCCGCCAAAATGGAATCGGCTATTTTGCAATATCATCAGTTGTCGGGCTACCCCGTCAGTGCGTATAATGTCTAATAATGAATGATTATTAGTTTTTTTTTCAAAAATGATGAAAAGAAAAAAAAATGACAAAAAAGTCAGAATGTAAATGTAAGATTTATATTTTTTAATCTTGTTTGTTGCTGTGTAAAAATACAGTTCACACACAGTATACAATCAAGAAAAAAAAATCATAACAAAATAGTCCGTTTTAAACTATAAATATTCTAAAGTACCTGTTACAGAGACTGGAAAACCTTGACCGCAAAACAAATTAAAAACTGTTTTTCTGATTTTCATTGCCAAATGCTTTGTTGCGTAACGGAAGTACTCGTGGTACATGTCCTCATTAACTTTACTTTATTTTCACAACTTTTTTTCTCCGATATCATTAATGTACTTGATAAAGGAGTTTATTTGGAAAATTAACGAAAAAAAATAAGATCCAAATTAAGTGTATTTGCATTAATCATCTAAATCGATGTAGTGATCAACTGTTTCCCAAACTCCATGTTAACGTTCATGAATAGTTGTTTTTAGGTTGCGGTCAAATTGATGCATACATGTACTAAAACCTAAGTAGACAAAATCATCAAAACACAACTTAAGCACGACAGGTTTCAAATATTTCTCTCTTTTTTTTCTTATACGATTGATACCACGCAAACTTCACCCAGTCATACTTAACCAAGTTACACACACAATGCATTTCACAAACAGGCTGAGCAGTTTGGCCGATTGCACAGCCAGAGTACGATGAAAGATGTTAACATTTAAAATGGACAAAGCAGATATAGCGTATTGAAATCAGTCTTTCATGGCAAGAATTAATGTGTTGACAGAAAAACGTACAGACAATCACAAGTCCATAACTGGCTGATACAGCAATCGTGAGCATCATCAATGTGTTCACTAACGGTAACTCTTAATCTGTTACAAGATTATGGAATACTTTAAACATAATGGTAATTAAGGCACGTTTTTTTACTAACCATTAAAGAATAACAGTTATTTTAGTTTTAGTTTAAACATATTATAAAATAACAGTTTCTCATCTATTAGAGGTAAAACTTCATCCAACTGACAACAAACTGCCACAAACAAGGTTCACAGGTAATAAGTTTCTTCATTTGACCAATAATGGTCAAAGAGAATAAGAAAAAAATCCAAAAAGGAAGGTGATATATATATATTGAAATCAAAATCATGTCATATAGGCATTTATCGTGAAAAAAAATCCGCAAAACAAGTAAATAAATGGATGAATGTAGTACACCAAATTCATGTTGTCATCAACTTGCCGTTCATCACACAAACTGATGACGTATATCGTACAACTTCTACTTCATCTTCAATTATCATCAGCATTCCCTTTCCCTGAAACTGTGCCACGAATCTGCAATGAAAACAAGTTTACATCTAAGACTTTAATTAAGTACAAATAAGGTGTCGTGTTGCCACAGGCTCCTCGAATCAAAAGGGCGGAGCTAGATTTTTTTCATCGGGAAATGAAAGAAAATATCGACAAATCAGAAAGCTGCATTTTGCGTTCAAAAGATGAAAAAAAAAAGGAATAAGTATCGGGTTAAATAATTGCCTTTACAGTTCAGTGTTGTATTGTTTTTAAAAATACGTACTGTTGATAGGTATTTTATTTTATATCGAAATACTTTTGAAGAAAAAATAAGCGTGAAAAATCTCAATTTTAGTTTTTAAGCTTATAAGATATGAAATGATTGATTGATTTCTTTTAATCAACATATTAATGTGAACTGTCATGTAAAACGATAACGAGCCATGATGATGATGACGATATCGTCTGGTGCATGTATACATGTAGATGTGTCTGAGTTTGTGTCTTGTTTATTGAAGACATTACAATCTTGAAAATATAAAGAAAATTAAAAAAAAAAAAAAAAAAACAGAAACGCTTTAGTTAAGTCACGGGTCAAGCAGTTCAAACTTCATCTTGATTGACTTGCTCTCACGTTTATGGTAGGTAGTGTCTATTTCTTATTATCCGTAGTAATATTGTTGTAAAATGACTACAGAAACAATACATATATAGTCTGATACGTTTCCGATGAGGTCCATTTAAATGTATCTAATTGTACATATTGCAAAAAAATTATCCAACGTATTGTGCAACTCGTGAGCAATAAGAATGCTATTCGAACGCTCCTATCATTTTCAGTCATGGTTACTTCCGGAAAAGATACTTCCGGTTACTTCTGGAAAGTGTGTAAAGCCTAGTTAGGCAGAAGAAAGTATGGTTACAAGGGTAAATATATCCCTATTTTTTAACCTCTTAAAGTTTATGCTTGATTCATGTGAAGATAACGTTGATCACGTAATACTTTTTGCAACCGGCATCCAAATGCACCATTTTATAACGTTTCACAGTTAAATTCCATAATGAGAACGTTTGAGGTCATTTTGTTACTGCATTGGCCAAATTGGTATCGAACTGAATATAGATTTGGCGGTCTGCTGAAATGACTAACTAAATCATTGGCACAGAGTACGTTTAGAATATTTTTAGAAACGTCCATTCAAATTTACATCATCTAAAAAAAGTTCCCTTTTTGTACAGCTATCCATTTTATACATGCCAGGTAGCATCCACTGACCACGCTACGCACAGAAGCTCGTCTACATGGTTTGATTAATAAGCTAGTGGCTATTAACGGTTGGGCTGTCAGATTAAGTCGTCTAGACAAGCCCCAATACACGTGTTCTCAGTAAAGATAGCAAATATAATAAAAAAGTTAGACACCTCCACAAGATTCTAGCTACCATAGACTGTCAATACATGCATATAGTAATATGAAATATGCGTGACTTTAAGTGCATGCAAGAAGCATATCTCACCATACAAGCATGTAGAAAATTAAATACAGATTCAGTAATTTTTGAAGGATTTTCCATGCCTGTCCAGAACACTTTCCAAAATGTTGAAAAGTTCAATAACTAAGAGGCATAGTGGATGCTCAGAATTGAGTGCTGAAGAAAAATCGTGAGCTAGAACCTAAATGTCTTGAGTACTAAAACGTCACTGCTGTATATATATGTTGTTATTAACATTTGCTTGTGTTTTAATTACAGGTGGGGTCATGTCTTCGAAGAGTCCTTCAACAGAATTTCCCTGGTGCTAGTTATGCATGTCCTCGTTGCGTGCAACATCTTCAAAGGTATAAGCACCAATTTATGATAAATGATTTAATAAGGGTTTCTTTGTTGAAACGATATCAGTTGATGTAGTGACTGAATAAAAACAGGAAATAAGGGGGAAAATCTTATAAAAATAGTAGCTCTCCCACTTTGAAATGGTAATGGGGATTTGGTTTGTTTTTTTATTTTTTTTGAAAGAAATGAATTATGATCATTTTGTTAGTACCTGAAATTCCCAGGTCAAGCAGTTTCATTTGCAAAGGTTGTAATTTTTTTTGTCTTTGTGATTTCAGTTTTTAAAATGTACATTTTATTTACTGTGCTGGTATAAAAATAATTCCTTATAAATACAAGTATGTTAATCAAATTTATATCATTATCCTTGAAATGAAACCAAACCAAATGATATCTTATCAAAATATTGATGCAGAATAATCAATTTCATATAGAAAGGAAGACAGTTTTTATTTATAAATGGCAAGTAATGAATAAGGATATGAAATGGGGAGATCACAATTTGTCATGGTGTGGAAATGAAAAAATAATCTCTGCCCTCATACTTGTGGGCATTTATTTATTGTCATTGATATATAGATAAATGACTCTAGTGTTATTGTTTCAGGTTACAAATCAGCTCTAGTAGTCATGTGAAAGGAATATGGGAACCAGAAGGGCTGGTACGTATTTAAATGTTGATCTGTATACTGTGTAACATACACTAGGAGCATACCAATAATCAAACACAATAGGTAAACAAATATTTATGTATTCTGTATATATATACCAAAACAGTATTTAATTATGTCTATTTGTTTTTAGCATTTTATACCATATTTGCAAGGAATCCTTAACACTAGACCTAGCTTAATATGTAATCGTGATTAAAACTCTATTTTGATTTAAATTTGATCATTATTTTTTACATGACAGTCAACACTCTGATATGTGTGTTTCATGGTCTATAGATTTACATGTAAGATTCAAAATAGATATATGTATACTTACAAAAGAAGTATTGGTACAGTTTTGGTGTGTAGGGAATCATTATCTGCATATTTCCATTTCTTTATCTATGTCATGTGCTATCAATAGAATTTCAGGTTAGTTAATACTCTAATGAAATACATTGTACCTTATACATTGAAAAATGTCTACAAAATTATTTTGATTTACAGAATAAAGGGCCTGTAATTCCAGAGTTTGAAACTATCAACATGAAGATGTTTTCTTTTGACTGTGCCCAGTTAGAGTCCTTTGCCAAATATGCTAAAACTCTGGCAAAAATGCTTGACATGGATGCCTTTATGTAAGTTCCTGGGATATTTCTTTCTTGCCCACTTTCATAAGATGGCAGGCTGTTTATACATCATCCTAAATCTGTGATTTATTGCCTGTCTGTCTGAAAACAATTTTTACTACCTCTGTCTCTTGTGAAGTACTTGATAGATCTTGCTCTGATATCACATGCAGACTTCCCTTGGTCCTTAGCTGTATAAAATTTGACAACAGATCAGACAGTCAGCCATATCTTTCAATGCAGAAATCTATGATTGCCATCAACCATTCTTTTTCCTGATCAGTCTTAAAATCAAACAGGCACAACTAGGGACAAAGGAAAACTAACAAATGAAATTTAAGAAACATCCATCCAGTGCTTCACAAGAAATAGAGATATAAATGTCTCATTGTCGAAATCCAAGATGGCCACCATTTGGTTATTTTGTTTTTCTGATCAGCCCCAAAATCAAACAGCCACATTTTGGGTCCAAGGGGAAACTATATATGAAATTTAAGAATGGTTCATTAAGTACAATGTACTACTCCAGAAATAGCGATAATAATTTCTTAATGTAAAATCTGAGTTGGCCACCTACTTGCCTTGTTGCTTTTCAGATCAGTCTGCAAGGACAATGTACACAATGTACAACTAGGGACCAAGGGGTCCATATAGATAAAATTTGTGGAAAAAAAAAAAAGAAAAAAAATCTGTCTAGTAGTTTTCTAGAAATAGCAAAAGAAATATATTACAGTCAAAATCCAAGATGGCCATCTGCTTTCTTGATCACTCCAGAAATGGAACATTGCACATCAATGGAAAAAGGGGTCCTAAATTTGAATAAGATCCATCCAGTTCATCTTCCGAAATAGTGATAACAAACTACAATGTATTACTGTTTAGATCCAAGATGGCTGCCTTTTGGTCTTGTTTTAGGATCAGTCCTGAATATGGAACAATGCACAACTAGGGACCTAGGGCAACTACATATGAAGTTTTCGAAAGATCCATCTGATGATGGTGGAGTTAAAAAACTAACTATTGCTATCAAAGATGCAAAAGACAATGGAGGATTCATGTTATTTCCAAATGATCTGCTCTGAGTATATTCTTTGTTAACAGTAATCATAATTTTGTTTGAATGAAATTCATTATGAACAGGTTTAGAACCACAAACATAACAATAATGTACCATTTCTTATATGATAATGGTTATCTAAAGTTGTCTTTTTTTTTTTTTACCAGGTATCCTGTTCCACGACAGACCCAAGCTATAAAGACATATAAACCCTATTCAACCATTGTAAATAATCAGTACACACTGGACAGATTTGAAAGAGTGGTACGAGTAAGTATTTACTGTAATAATGTATACAGTGAGTGTTAGCTTTTGCTGCTTTCTCCAATATCTCTCAACTTCGATAGAAATGATCATTTTGCAACACTCATAGGGAATTAATTTTTATTTATCTGCATGGAAAGATCATATCTTCACAATTTTTTCTGGTCCTCACAATAGACTAGGTTAAGTCATCATTGCAACAGATTTGAAAAATATAGCTTCAGGTTTTGGTTCTTTAATGGAGCTTGAAGTTTTGACCCTATATTGGAGCTTGGGGTTCCAGGATATATATTTACCGTTTATACAAAAGTATTTGTAATGTACCAGTGAGTAATATCTTGGTATGATTGATATTAGTTACAGATTGCTTTGGTATGTTGGCCCATATTTACCATACTGATAACAGATATCAAAGACACATGCATGAGTTGGTGTGGACATACTGTGTGTAATTAGAGCTGTCATTCAAAGAAAGTGAATATCCATGTGTTACAAGTGACAGTCATTGGGAATTTTGGAGTATTTTACCATGTTCTTGTATACAAGTTCAATGTATTGGTGTTAATAATCTTGTAAAGGTCACATAAGTAGTTTGGTTTTTCTTTGCTTCAGTCACAGTATGTTTATAATGACCATGAAATCAGAAATAGGGAACCACAGAGTGTCAGCACTGCATGTTCATATTAAAATTATATCCATTTACCATAGATAAGGTTTAAGTATTTTGTACGATTCATCATTTTCTGTTTAGGCCTTGACATCCAGTGATTTTCACTCCTTGAGATATTAATCTGTATTAGTTCACATTAACATTTCTCCTTGTAGATACACGACCTGCCTTCTACTGTGTTACCAGTGTTTATAGAGTTAATGCGTAAAAATATTCCAGCAGGTGTAGATATTGAATTTAAACAGGTAAGATGTAATATTGATAAATTTTCATGACATGCCATTATATAAATCAACCTGAAAAAAGTGTAATTTATAAGACAATAAATGCAATCCAGCACATGACAATTATGATGTTAATTAATTGTAGGCTTAGAAATGGTGACAATTTGTCATGAAAATGGTTTTTCTACTTGGCAGATTACACTGTCATAAAGAATCATTTATCTTAGTTTAAATCAAGTTATAAACATCACAACATAGCATAATGAGTAGGGAATAGAAATATCAGCATTGAACTGTCTTTTTTGGCATTCATAGCCGTAATAAAAGACATACAATATAACAGGACAGTTCAGTGCTTTAATGACACTGTCTCACATATATTGATTCATACATTAATTCGTGATTTGAGTTGATTACCAAACTAGATATCTGAATTTCTCACAATACTGAATTCTTCCTCTCCCTCTTCCTGATCAAGATGAATTAACAGGTGAAAGATGCAATAATTGAAACACAGTATAGCGTTAGCTGTTATAACTATAAATTTGATTTTTAAACTTAAAGATGTCTACATTGTTCAGACAATCTGAATCATTTAATCATCTCAGGATGTACAATTTGGTCACTGTGATATATTCAGGGTCATATCAACATTAAATTTTCTACAGGAATGCTTTGAACAGTTTTTGTTTGCGACGATCAATATAAGTATTTATAAGATTATGAAATTATGAGGTGCAGGTGATTGAAATCATATGAAGATAAGCTCATTTGACTAAACTTTACCATCGCAAAGGTGAAATGTCCAGGTCATGTTTTCTATTTTTTCGTTCATAAAAATTATCAAGATATAAAAATAGTATGGTCACAGTCACAATAAACTCATTGTTAAATTTTCTTTATCAGAACTGGTAGACATTCGGTTGTCCCTCACTCCCACCCGACCTGCACCACACACACATAAAACAAAACACAAAATTTCTTATATATTAAGAAACCCTGATGATAAGCTGTTGTTGCATCGTTTGTTTTTTCAGCACACAGAAGAAGATGAAACTGTCCGATACATGGGTGATCAGGAAAGAAAACAGTTGCTGTCTGAATTAGAGGAATTATCTGTAAGGAGAGTGTGACGTGCCTATGACCATGTTTATGACATCCATAGTTGGGACACCTGAATGTTTGTGTGATAGTAAACTTTGTATCATATATAAAAATTGTAAGATTTGTAAGATACCTATTCATTGAAGATAAATAAACATCCTGAATGATTATAATTTTATCTGACTCTCTTTTATTTTGTTGTGGCATGTCCTGCTTTTTGTTGACAAACAGATGGTTCTCATCATCACTAGAACTTCTGTCTGACAATCGTATTATACAATTTATATATACAACACAATACATGTGCCTTTGTGATTTGCCAGTATCCTAATTTGTGCTGGATACAGATACATTTAGTCAGATTATTACACCCTGACAGATTTCTCTGAAAGTCAATAGATATGAGTAATATCACCTAATATGTTTGACAGTTTTATAAACCCAAGTACTTAATGGAGTTCTTCATTGTGTGTTAGCGTTGACCTAAAATTTCAATTTCTAAAACATGAGTTAAGTACAAATTAGGTTGATAAACGCCAATTATTCCACAATAATATAAATTTGTATATAGAAATATGTAAAATGTGTTAATGTTTCATTATTATTATTTTTTTGTATATCTTTGCTATCTTTCTTCGTTCAATGATCTTAATGGTCAGGATGACACTTGTGTTTTGGTCATTTACGTTGATAAAACAGATACAAAGTTAACAGTACTGGTACTTTTAAAACGTATACAAAAATTAAAATTGCACTTGGTAAATGGTTCAACACAAACATGAAATTTTAGAAAGATTGATGCTGTATGCTATGTTGCCAGCCACTAAATGTAGAATTTGGCTTAAATTTTGCTCTAAAACACTACTCTTCATCAATGCCTCAGCATATTTCAACTAAGTTCAATTTTGTCTGAACCATTACTTTGGGATGTCAATCATTTCTTAAGCTTAAAATGATGATACAAGCCCAGGGACTGGGGTCAGGGCCCGTAATGGGGAATTCAGCTGAAATTTTGTTTTCCAATGCTAGTATTCCTAAATGCACAGGTGAATTTCAACCAGATTTATTTTGGAATGGTGATAATTTCTAATACGGATGATTTGAAAGTCAGATGACCATTAAAGCCATATGATTCTTGTTCACAATTTGTACAGGTCATGATTTGAAAATGTATCATCTGAGTTGGTCACACTGTGTATTCCATATGACACATATATATGAAAACAAACTTTAAACTTTAAATACAAGATTTCTGCCTGGAATGCAACCACTCGGTGATTGATCTTCATATCCACAAATAAAATGGTATTGTACATTTACATTGTACTTGTTGATAACATTGAGAATAACAAAATACAAAAATTAACAATACACAACTAAGGACTCGCTTAAGAAACCTGTGTATGAAATTTGGGGATGATCAATCCAGCACTTCTCAGAAATAGTGACAACAATCTATACTTCTCAAATTCTAAGATTATGAATTGGGATATTTTATTTTTTCTGATCAGTTGCAAAATCTACAGTGCACAACTATGGATCAAGAGCTACATATGTATGAAATTGGAGAATGATCCATAGAGTCCTTCTACAGTCATAGCAATAAATGTAAAAAGTGTTTGACGATGGTGGATTAATTTAAGAACCAGTACACAACCGTCAATAAAAGGAAGCCTTCCACGGGTGATGAAATGTGTACATTTAATTTATAGTCATGTGCCATATTTCAAGCCGTATAAAAGCCTTTATATATGCTGGCAGAGTATATGCAACATTTACATAATTAAATGGTAATTCCAGAAGGTCTTCTAGATCTGTCCGTACAGGTCAAATTTGTCTACATCATTATGCCATGGAGCCCTGCAAGGGCATTTAAGTATGTTACCATCAAGAAAGGGATTTAAGATCACGTTACATCCAGTCAATAACCAAAACTTCAAAATACTGTAACAGAGGTCATTATTTTACTTCAATGCCTCCCCTAGGATTCACACCTAGGACCTCTTTCTAGTCTGATGACAACTGATTGTGCCTAAGAGAATTTGTCCCTAGTCACGCATTGTGTGTGGCTGAAGTTTTACTAGGGCTATAATACCAATCACGAAAATATGATACTTGATTCCATGGCATGGTTATAAAATCTATGAGGTTTGAAAATCATCTGTTGAAAACCAGAGTACATAAAGTAAATTTAGGGCACTTCCTCTTTTAAAAACACAAATCAGAAATGTTGTTCAGGTAGACATAACTATCTCAGATTGGTTGAAAACTGTGGTAGAAAATCTGTGGACAAATAGAAAAAATGACAGATGGAAGAACAGACAGACACTGCTATTCCATAATCTGTCTCATCAAATGTTTTATCTGGCATGTAAAACAACTTGTATTACTTTAAGCTGTTTAATTTGTATCAAAAGTCTGATTTATTCTGGTTTGATCTTTGAAGAGACTGCTAAAATTACCCTCATTAATTTGATAGTTGTTTGTTTACAGAATTTTCATATTTCTGTATTGAAAATTGTGGAATACTTTTTCTGTGTTCATCTCAATTGCAAAAAAAATGGAGATAGCAATTAAGAATATGACTTCAGTGACATGTTTAATTGAGTCCTAGTTGTGAACATCTGAACAACACATTTCATGCTGATGATGAAGGTGTCATGCTATTTGTGTTGATGGTGGAGGTATCGTGCCTTGTGTTGATGGTGAAGGTGTCGTGTTTTGTGTTGATGGTGGAGGTGTCATGTGTTTTGTGTTGATGGTGGAGGTATCGTGCCTTGTGTTGATGGTGGAGGTGTCATGTGTTTTGTGTTGATGGTGGAGGTGTCATGTGTTTTGTGTTGATGGTGGAGGTGTCATGTGTTTTGTGTTGATGGTGATGTTGTGCCTGATGTGTTGATGGTGAAGGTGTCATGTGTTTTGTGTTGATGGTGGAGGTGTCATGTGTTTTGTGTTGATGGTGAAGATGTTATGTCTTTTGTGTTTATGGTGAAGATGTCATGCCTTTTATGTTGATGGTGAAGGTGTCCTGTCAAAAGTCATATAAGGTAATTGTAGCTGCAGATTACATGTCAATATTTTGGAGATGAGTCCTTGAATTTCTTTCCAGCCAAAGATCCATCATTAATATGTTCTATATTATAAATCATGTCCCTAATAGTGGTACACTAATTTCTACAATGTCCAAAATTAGTGACTCCCTGTAAAACTTCAATACTTAAAAAAACCAAGTCTGGTAACACCCAATCCCCCCCCTAGAAAAACAAAAAGACAGAAACTTCATTTTGTCAAACATTTCATATGCAATTGTACATCATTCCAAATTGATAGAATCAAACCTATCACATTCATTACTACAGTCATTAGAAAGATGAAAAGTTCCTCTTCACATAAATCTCTTTACTTGTCTTTTAGCTTGCAATTTTTGTTTAGCATTTTTTTCTCTCAGAGAAATTTTTTTCGCTTTTGCCCAGTATTCGTATGATCCATACTCCAGTTCCTCAAGGTCAGGTGCCTTTCTTTCAATACGAAGCTCCCACAACCAGTCTGGGTATTCCTCGTCAGGCTTCAGCTGAATTTCTTCGCCCGTTTTATATATGTTGCCACCACACAGGTAATTAACAAGTTTGTGTGGATCTTTTTCCACTTCAAGATTCAGTCTAGCCACTTTAATCCCAGTCGCTGTCAAAAAAGTAAAAATATAATCTCATAAAAGAATTGCCATATACAAATTTTTTCAACAACCTGTGCATAAGCAACAGTCCTGCACTTGAGGGATAGTTACTGTTCTGCTTCCAGAAATCAAAAGTTGGACAATTCAAAATAAAATGCATGTTAAGTTCCTCTAAACATTTGCAACAAGAAAAGTTGTCTTCGACATAGGTTGTCTTCGGTCCACAGGTTTCTAAGCTCTGGAACAGATACGTATGAGAAAAAAAGGCGCTATACTATACTATTTTATCACTACCTCTCAAATGTAGGGCCATTACTCATATACTGGGTTAATTAATATCGTGCTACACATATCTGTGTGTAACCCGTCACCGCGAGGGAAGCGGATCCAGGTATCCCCTAATGTATTCTAGATCTACCACCCCATCTCCCGCTCGCCATCCCCTAACTGAAAATAAATATGGAATTTTCAGCAGTCGTATCTAACCTTTTGCGTATGATGCTGTGATCATGTTTACATTCTGCAAGCATCTTAAAGGACAACTTGTCGCTATTCGAAGGCATTTACATAAAGCGGCCGCCATGATGTGCCATTAAAATTTAACCTCTGCTAAAAATAGTGCATCGTATCAATCACATTCGATTTTCAGGACATATGTATATATATCCACATCACAAAAATCTTTTTATTGTTAAATATTAAATGGAATACTTGCACAAATGTCATTGGGACTGACAGTGACAGTCGTTTTAAAGAGATATGAAATTGTATATTGGGGGAATATTTTCATGGTGCACCGACTTGTACAAAGATGGCTGCGCCCATGCGAGATTTTAGGGCATGGTAGGAATTAGCTAGCAGATTCGGGACAGATGGATCAGGGGTTCACCCCAGTCATTCTTTGAGGTTACACTTATAGTAAGTAAAAGGGGTTAAATTGGACTATCGATCTTAATGTGAGCCGTAGCACTGATCCATTGCTTTGAAGAAACTAAGGGGGATAACTGGTAGTATATGACCGGTTTTAGATGTCCAGCAACACTAAGCTACTTGTCATAGGTAAATATTATATTACATAGCAGTCAGCATATATGATGACGTTCGATGATACATAGTGCAACAGCTGTCTCTAAGTTTATGCAGATATATCTAGTATCGACTGTGACAAACAATAAAAATAAAAAATGATAAAATCAAAATATTGTATTTACAGCACTAGTGTTTTCTGATCGTTCAACTGGTGACAAATGAATATAGACGAGAAGGAAAAATTAACATATATAAAATTGTACAAAATGAACAACAGCCACCAATGGCGTTGTCTCAGACGATTGGTGCACTTCTTATACCTACTTGTATTGGTCTACAAAAAGGGCATATATATTTCACTTTTAAAGTGTTTTGTAAATTAAAGTCATGAATCATATTACCATCTTTGAATTTGCCATTATCTGTTCGACAAGGTAAACAACATAGTCTATGATCTGCAATTTGGTTTTAGGAAGGGTAGATGATCAAGTTCATTTACAACCTCACCAACAACCTAATATCCAGATTATAGATTTTGCCAGAGTCTTTAATTTGATAAGGTAAACCATATTTTGTTTGTCCAAAAGCTCTATGAATATGGCATTTAAGGACAGTTCAACATATGGAATCGGAACTGGTTAGCAGCTGGTAGGACATAAATCAGTGTGTTAGAAGGGGACAGCTTGACATCAGTGAGTGTTGACATGGGAGTATCACAGGGATCGGTCCTCCGCCAGATAAATCTCTTCCTCTTCTACATCAACGACTTGCAGGAGAATCTTAAGTCTGCCACCAATCTGTTCTCTAATGTCAAATGTACCTCATCATCACATGAGAAGATGTTGCAAGGACCCTAAAAGAGGATGTTGATAAGCTGGGAACAGTATTGGTGTAAGAGGTTCAATCCAGAAAAATGTTAAGGATCAATTACAAGAGGAATCTATCGAGATTGAATACCACCTTCATGGTCACACTTTGCAGGAGGTCCAGTCAGCTGTCTTCTTTGGTGTTACTGTAATGAATAACATCAAGGGGGGGGGGGGGGGGAAATCAAATCTTGGTCATCATCAGCATGAAAATCCAACTGAGTGACCTTTATTTAACACTAGGCCCAAGCACATCAACCCCAGCCCTTTTACATTACGATCCTCCCTTATTTTCTTAGAATCTCCATGGAAGTATTTAACACTATAGAGACTGTCAGGTTGTGCTTCTTTGAATTAAAATAATGCCTTTACATCTTGATATTAATGCAGCTAACCTATCAGAAAATGAAATGTCACTGATACATTGTACCGGTGGTATTCACTAACACTGAAATGTACATGTGTTACAGGGTAGTATAGTGCTTTACTATATTCAAGCAAAGAATAGATAAATGAGATACATCTCTGCCTGATAGATCTGACTATATGTCATATCAAATTTGTTGGCCCTTTGGCTTATTTAATAGTACAATGTATGTGTAGCACAATCAGTGACATTTTTATTATGTCTCCCAAAAGAATGAAGGGAGAAATTTTGTACTTTTTATACAATATCTTGTTGAGGACATAGCTTTTGAACTTTTAGAGAAATATGACGATGAATAATGAAAACATGAATGAGCAGTCCCCAAAAAATCATCTTTTATTGCACATGGCATGTGTATATTTTTTTACATTCACTTGGGGTATACGTCTTTTCTACTTTCACTTTAGGTATACTTCCTTAAACGATCACCATGACGGTGACAACACACGATGCCACAGTGATGAGGTGTGTTGCCCCAACAGCAGGATGCCCACAGACCTGTAGGATCAGTTTATCATTGATGGCAGAGTTGGGGGCAAATTTGGTCTCCTTTATCCAGGTCACCTCCAACCTCCAACAGATCATCTGTCGAGTAAGAGTAGCCGACAGTGCCTACAATAATTACATTGAATTTCATCCCACAGTGTTTCGTCAATGTCCAGAAACGAAAGAAAAGCCAAAAGGGAAGGAGGTGTCAATTTACACAGAGAATTGCAAGAAATGTGTAAGTGCACCTGATAACCAAGATCAAGAAAACTGGAGACAATCTACACCTTCTGAAAAAATGCTAACATTGTCATGTCAGAATGGTATTAATCTAGAACTGCTAACTCCAGTTAAAGTTGATTTGGTGGAAGTTCATATTGTGACAAGTATTGAACATGTGAAAAAAATGAAAATAAAATTGAAGACTAATCATAAACATTTAGAAAAAATGTGTAGTAATTTATTGCATAATTTTGGTGTAAAGGAAAACTTCATAATAGATTTAAAATTTTCTTCCTTGGCAAAACTTTATAATATTTCTCATTTAATAGTCAAACAATGTGAAGGAGGGGTTGGTAAACGGCAAGATAAAGTCTTCGTTGTTGGTGTACAAACAAAAGTCAATGTAACTGATATACATAGTACAGAACGTTTCACAAGTCAGTTATCTTCTATAGCAACTCCTTTGGGTGGCATAGAGGAAATTGCTGAAGAGCTTATAGAATTAGTTAAGATCCCTGCAGCATTGACAAAGTGTTTGGGTAATACAGCATTGAGACCTGTTCGAGGGTTGTTACTACGAGGACCGCCAGGCACAGGCAAGACTTCACTTGTCAAATATGTGTCATGTCAGACTGGTGCCCATCTTGTCACCATTAATGGACCAGAGGTATTTGGCTCCCGTCCAGGCCAGACAGAGGAAAATCTACAGAAGATATTTGAAAAAACAGTTCTGTTTTCTGAAGAAGGGCTTTGTATTTTGTTTATCGATGAAATAGATTCATTGTGTCCAAAGAAGAAACCAGGGGAGACAACCTCAGGCCAGAATGCATCTGGCTTGCTTTTGAGTTTCTTCGATAACCTCCATGAAAGTCTCTCATTGCTTGTGATTGGGGCAACCAACAGACCAGGATCTCTGGACCCCGCTCTGCGAAGACCAGGACGACTTGATAAGGAGGTATCTATATGATTCTGAAGAGATAATCTATATGCCTGGTGCTTGTCAGTGTTGATATAAACATGTATTATAAACAGGCATGATGGTTTTCATGTAATGCAATATAACTTAACCAGTAATTAATGCAAACAAAGTTCTTAGCAGAATACCTATATACTTTAAAGTTGTATTTTTCAAGGGTATTTGCCCCACAATTTCTTTCATATAATGAATTTAAAAATCAGTACGTTTGAACATTTTTTTTAGATTTCATTTGATCTTTTGTTGATCTTTGTTTGCTGGTCTGGTTTTGAATTACCAGTCTTTCAGTAGACAATAACATAAAAAAAAATTTGTTCAAAGCAAATGACAATCCATTTTGAAGTTTTAATTATCTTTCTGAACAGTGTATATCTTCCTTTGATGCAGATTATGATGAATATACCATCCTATCAACAACGGCTATCTATCCTTGATATTCACATCGGAAAACTCTCACTCGGAAATGACATTGACATCGAAAAGCTTGCTCGCATGACTAACGGTTATGTTGGAGCTGACCTGGCATCTCTGTGTCACGAGGCTGCATACAGTGCTATGTCTGACACCAAAGATACAGCAGGTTCTATGGTTAGTATGTCAACATCTTTAGTGTATTATCTATAAGCGTTTTTTATGGGAGGAATTATTGCAGACATTTACTTAAAGAAAGATTTCTTTTTACAAATATCATTACTACATACAATAAAATGGTTCTTTGCCTAAGACTACGTAGGCCGACACTCTAACCGACTGAGTTATTGGGACTCCCTTCCTTCAATAAGTCTAGAGGGCCAATTACATATACATGTTAACAAAAAAGGAGGGAAGTGGACTTATTAATGTTGGCATTTCTATGTATAAAACTAAAATAGATATGGTGGGCTTATTAACAGGCATAGACTTATTTCCAAATAGATTGGTATATTAAGCATTGTAAAAAATGTTAAAAAAATTTCAGTCATGGAATTTTCTTTAACAAGAGCTATAGAAAATGTACCGATAATAATTTGACTCTCTTTGTGTGTTTTTTTCGAATACAGCAGGACAGAGGTCATATCCGAATGAAACATTTCCTGTGTGCTGCCAAGTCTATCACTCCATCCACGCAGAAAGGTTCTGAAGGACTGATAGACACACCCCCAGTGGTCTGGGACGATATAGGGGGTCTAGAGGACACTAAGCTACAGATCAGACAAGTAAGATAAACACGCCCCCTCCAGTCACACGGTCTGTATAGATAGGGTTTATAGCTGGTTTCATCAGTTGTGTCTGTGTACAAACGTCAGTTAATAGTGTGTCTCATTCTATCACTTATTGATGTATTCATACAAAAAATACATACAGTTGTTGACATACATACTATATGATGATGACGTTACAATTTTTTACAGCATAGAAAGGTGGATCTATACCGACTGAAATGTTTGCTACTTTTTTTTGTGTTTTTCAATACTTTTGCTTGTAGTATTAAGTAGGACCAAACAATAGCAGACATTAACATTCATTTTCATGAAATATGACCAGTTTTGTGTAAGATGTCAACATTCTCTTCATTTTGAATGCAGCCATGATTGGATCTGGTTGTCATGACAATAATGAAGCTGATATATCAATACTGTACATAAATCCCCCAAAATCTAAAATGTAACCAAGTGCGTTCGACACGATATTCCACATCAGTGTATGATATCTAAATACCATAAAAAGGATTTTCTGTCAAAGACATTTGTGTATCAATATATATGTCATATTTTTGACATTCTCGATGGTTTTTGTGATGGTTGAAATACTGAAGAATTAGCGTTTATTGTATAACTTGCTCCTGTCCAACCCAGACATCCTTAATTATTCTAATCACAACAAATATCATTGAAATCAAATTGGAACAGAGACAATGAAAAGTGCTTTACGTTCTGTTAAAAGGTATTCTTTTAAAATGTAAAAATTGAGTCGAAATATTTCTGTGTAGTGCAGTTTTTAATTACATTTGCACCTAAATCTGGACATAGATCAAAAATGTGAAAGAATTTACAAAGTTTGTGTATTTAGTTTATTTTGTTACAAAATACTGATTATGGGGTGAGGTGTTGAGATTAATGACAAGTGTTCATGTAGTCTCACATGACAGACAGATGACCAACTGGGTACATACAGACTGCTTCTTAATCTTACATCTAAGTGCTAGCTGTGGACATAACTTATTGTGATATAATTATGAAACCAACAGTGCTATAAAACAAATCGCAGCGAAAGCCATTTTTATACGCCCGTCGAAAGACGAATGTATTATGGTATGGCGCTGTCCGTCCGTCTGGCGTCTGTCGTAAACTTTTATTTGTGCAGAGATCTCCTCCAACATTTTTCAGCCGATCTTTATGAAACTTGGTAGGCTTAATCACCATGATATGAAATTGTGTTTTCCTGAATGGGGTTTTGATTAGATGATTTGAATAAGAGTTATGCCCCTTTGCTCTTTTGGATATTCACGGGCGTATTTTGTTACGCTTTGCAGTACTCTTGTTTAATATATTTTTTGTATGTTTTGAGGTAAAAGAGCTACCTAAATCTAAATTGACATGTTTCTACTCATCATGCATCTGTGACCATCATATGGTTTCAATCTCAGTTGACAGATATGTTGTTTGTAGACAGGATGTAATCACATTTGAGTTGATATTTTGTTTCTCTATTTTCATATAGGCAATTGAATGGCCGATCCAGCACCCTGAAGCTTTCAAGAGGATGGGCCTGCCCTGCCCCAAGGGCGTCCTGCTGCATGGACCTCCAGGATGCTGTAAAACTACCCTGGTGAGGGCTGCTGCAACATCCTCAGGAGCAACATTCCTGTCCCTGAGTGGGGCTCAGCTCTACTCTCCTTATGTGGGTGACTCTGAGAGGAAGGTTACAGAGGTCAGTGGGCACAGTTCTAAAACTTTGTCATTCTGAACAAATTAAAAGTTTCTTGAAAAGTAAGAAAGTACTTTATAGGTTGCATATCAAATTTTGATATTTATTCTCTTTGATTCATGTGGCAGGATGTTTTTGTAAATCTTGAAGCAGTTATATTGTGACTAGAGAATATGTTATGATTAGGGACATTTTGGAAAAAAAATTTCAGGTTGGTAATTGCCAGTAGTATAGAATTTCTATTTAATCGACTACAGTACATTGTTCCCATCTTTGTATTTTTTACCCATTTTACCATCTTTACACGTTGGTTTTTACCTCAGTGTTCACAGGATTACAGTACCCTAGAAAAAAAATAGCTTGATTCCTGAAAATCTCATACACTATATACATTAGTGCTAGTGTGCATCCTACTGGCCGTTTGTCTGATGAAGATGGCCATTTAGCCATCTACACATCATATGTAAATCTTCTGCTAGTTGTGTATTCTCTGTGTAGGGACAGTTTGTTGGTTATTACCTAGTAAGCAAGAATAGAATATTCCACACTTATCTGGTTTGTGTGGCTGTTAATCTAATGAAAGAAGGAAAGAGACCCATATCACGCTTGAAATTTTCATTTCTTTTTATGGGAATAATTTAACAGACAATAAGTCTTATAACTAAGCCCATTCTTTGTATTGCTGTTCTGTGAAATTACGAAAAATGGCTGTACCCATTTGTCTTGCTTCATGTAATTTGTAAAATTAAAAGCAAAACCTATTTTAATGTAATGCAATAAGTCCATTCCTTTTTTAGTGTCAGACTTTGCCTGTTTCTCCCCTAGGCTTTTTGCAGGATGAATACGGAAGTAAAATTTATCATTTCTCTTGACAGATTTTCCACAGAGCACGAGCTGGAGCTCCATCTATCCTCTTCTTGGATGAGATTGACTCAATCATTGGTAAACGGTCAGACTCATCAAGTCAGCGTAGTGTTCAAGAGAGAGTCTTATCTACCCTCCTCAATGAGATGGATGGCATCGGAGTGAGACTGGATGACCAGGTGGTGGGCGGGGCCAAGGTCATGGAGGGAGAAGTATGTCCACAGGAAAGCAGTGATGGCAGTAGAAAGGTGGGCTTTCAAAGATGTCTTTATCTTTCTCTTTAAGATTGTCAACATAATATATATTTAATTTCAATATGTGTTTTGTTCTGTTTGGAAGTTTTATTCATGAGCTCTGTTTTGATATGATGAGTAGATATTTAATGGTATTATGTATACCAGATAAGACTCCTTTGCTATATAAAATTCTCCCTTCAATATCACTCTGTATTTCAGAACCACAGAAACTTCAGAACATATTTCTCAACATTATCAAATTAGAATCATTGTTAGTATTGACCATTTATGATGATGCCTTGCCTCTTTTAAACTCTTTCCTGTTTTTTTCATCATTTTACAGGTGCAGTCTGTTGAAGATGCTTCAGACAGGAGGAATGTTGTAGTTGTTGCAGCCACAAACCGCCGGGATCTTTTGGACGATGCTCTGGTCAGGCCTGGACGCATGGACCGAATTCTCTATGTACCTCCACCTGACACACAGGTGTGTAAATTAAGCTTGTTCTGAACACAAGTCCCTCTATTCATGTTAGTTGATGCAAGTCACTATGTCTATAAGTTGCTACTTGTCCTGTGTTCTTTTGTTATTACAAGTCCCTGTGTTTGTCTGTTATTACAAGTAACTGTTCGTCTGTTATTACAATCCCTGTGTTTGTCTGTTATTACAAGTCCCTGAGTTTGTCTGTTATTACAATCCCTGTGTTTGTCTGTTATTACAAGTCCCTGTGTTTGTCTGTTATTACAAGTCCCTGTGTTTGTCTGTTATTAAAAGTCCTTGTGTTTGTCTGTGATTACAAGTCCCTGTGTTTGTCTGTTAATCCAAGTCCCTGTGTTTGTCTGTTATAACAATCCCTGTGTTTGTCTGTTATTACAATCCCTGTGTTTGTCTGTTATAACAATCCCTGTGTTTGTCTGTTAATCCAAGTCCCTGTGTTTGTTATAACAATCCCTGTGTTTGTCTGTTATTACAATCCCTGTGTTTGTCTGTTATTACAAGTCCCTGTGTTTGTCTGTTATTGCAATCCCTGTGTTTGTCTGTTATTACAAGTCCCTGTGTTTGTCTGTTATTACAAGTGCCTGTGTTTGTCTGTTATTAAAAGTCCTTGTGTCTGATAGTTTTTACAGGACATTGGTCTGTTAGTTATTACATGTCCCTATGTCTGTTAGTTATTACATGTCCCTGTGTCTGTTTGTTATTACATGTCCCTGTGTCTGTTAGTTATTACATGTCCCTGTGTCTGTTAGCTATTACATGTCCCTATGTCTGTTAGTTATTACATGTCCCTATGTCTGTTAGTTATTACATGTCCTTGTGTCTGTTAGTTATTAAATGTCCCTATGTCTGTTAGTTATTACATGTCCCTATGTCTGTTAGTTATTAAATGTCCCTATGTCTGTTAGTTATTACATGTCCCTATGTCTGTTAATTATTAAATGTCCCTATGTCTGTTAGTTATTAAATGTCCCTATGTCTGTTAGTTATTACATGTCCCTGTGTTTGTTTGTCATTATATGTCTTTGTGACAGTCTTATATCTATGTGTCACTGTGTTGTAGGCCCGAAGACAGATCCTCAACATCTACACAAAACACATGCCAGTGCTTGATGTGGACTTAGATGGGATAGCCATGGCAACTGAGAATTACACTGGAGCAGACCTAGAAAGTCTCTGTAGAGAGGTAAGACAACAAACAATATTTAGCTGTGTTTATTTTTGGATATTGTCAACGAAAAAAAAAAAAGCCGAGGAAGTGACATCATATATTGGAAATATTTCTGCTGTTTTATAAACTTCTGTTTTTGAAGAATTAACTTCATGGCGATAGAAAAACAATTGTTCTCAAAGATCAGATGTAGTTAAGATATATATTTATATATATAATTATATACTAGTACATTGTCAAGGGATTGTGATTTGTGATATATCCATAGAAGAGGATATCACATTGTTTGAATCTAATTATTTTTTTGTTTTGCTCTTTTGCAGGCAGCATTAAAAGCATTAACAGTGGATTTATGTGCAGATGTTGTTAAAATGGAACACTTTGAAAGTGCTTTAAAACTTGTAAAGCCTTCTCTTTCTGGAAACTTGATACAGAAATCTCAACCATCAGTACCATGGAGTTTCTGTCCCAAGAAACATTGATGTTAAGTGTTGGATGATGTCATTAAAGCTACATATCTCAAATTCCTTGTAACTCTTATGTACATTTATTTATAATTCTTGAAATATGTATGGATAAATGAGCCAAAAAGGCTTTTATGAAGTTAAATATGGCAGTTCCTACTTCCAATATCAAGATATTTCTACTTGAGCTGAGGCAGGTATATCATGCATCATTTGTGGTACTCCATGTGTATGGGTGTCATATTTAACATTCATTTCTGTGAAAAAAAAAACATTTTCCACACTGCTGTGGATCAGAGATTGGTAACATGATAAAACTGATGTGACCTATGAATATGCTTAGAAATGTCTTATACATTTTTGTAGGGTCTGTGTTATGATCTCATTTTGTAAAAATGATTTTTTTTGTAATCATGATTTTCTTTGGAGTAAGATTTCTATACACATCACTGAAGGCATTTGATGATCGCCCTAGGACTTTAAACAATCACCAAACACTTAGTTTAACACATTCTTGGCTATAAGTTACCCTTGAATATTAATTATTTACCCTTGAATATTAATTATTTACCTTTGAATATTAATTATTTACCTGAATAGTAATTAGTTAGTTTTGGACATCAGCCTTGGACAACCAATATTTGACATGTTCCAAAACGTCATGAGTACACCCACTAAATACTCCATAGTTACATTGGTGGAGGGTGGTGTTTCTTGACCTGGTACACACTATGTTTTCCTAAAACTTGGCAATGCGTTCTGTTAGGCTATGATAATGATTGTTGATTCATTTCAGACATATATTCTGTTATCAAACCAACACTTATCAAAGACTCATAAAAAGATATCTTATTACCCAATCTTTGGAATATATCTGCATTTTTCATTCCACTGCAATGGTACATAAGATAGCACTTGTCGGAATTGTGATAGTGCCATGAAGCCTTCATATGAAAGTTGTTGCTAGGATGGAGGTCCACAAGTCATTTAAAAGATATCGAGTGGGTAATACTTTGTAACTGATATTTTTACTTCAAAGAAATAAGAACTGAATTCCTTAATGAATAAATAAAACAAAAATCATTGATAATTCATTGATATGAATCGACGAGTCAAGTTGCTGACGTCGTGCCGGCTAATTTTACATGGGAATTCATGCACTCAACCGTAAGTTAGGGACCATTCATTTCAGTATGAAACTTTAATCAAAATTGATATTTTAAAAAGATAAACCTTGTCATACTCCCGGCAGTGTTTGCTTTTTTATCTGCTACCAAGTGATACATTTTTATTTCATTTTATTTCAGACATATTGTATTTATCTAAAAAATCAATAGAACGTAAAGCATATATAAGCGTTGATACACCAAACTCGAGATAACCCGGATTAAACCGGATTATCCTGTACTCTGATAAAACACAAGCTTTCTTTGTAACCCAATGCAGCGTTTGCACATGCATTACATGTAAATCATACACATGCTCAAACTGTCATGTAAAAAATTAACATATACTGAAAGAAGGCAAACCTCTGGAATGGTTTAAGGTAATATGAAACACAGGTAAATTCAACAACACACGGATAAGTCGAAGTCGACGGGACCAAAAGAAATATTCGACTTATCCATTTATCGATTTAGCAGTGTTTCTTTCAACGGAGACATTTTGCATCGAAGATTGATCTTATTTTCATCGCTTGTTTACCGGATATGTGTCTCATTGCAAGGCTAGACAGTAATGAATAAGTAAAAAAAACACACATTGTGTTATTTTATATACTTACGAATATAAAACAAAACAAATGCTTTGTGAAATGCGTAGATACACATCCGCTCTCATACACATAACTTTGTAAAATCGATACCTGAAGTGATAGAAGTATTGTACTCAGATTTATATCTTTATGTGTTGCAAGGTCCGTCAACAATATTTAAAAATAAAATTCAATAAATACGTACTTATGAATATTCTTTTTTGATATAACGTCGATAGTACTGAGGTGAGTTACAAAAAGGTGAAGGCCGCGGCAACGTCACTGAAGCATAAGCTGTACACGTGCAGCACCGTAAGGGCATAACCGTACATTACAGATGCACAATTTATTGTTAGTCAATGTATTATTTCTTAATTAACGCAGCGTCTGAACGAAATCGAGCATGCTGACGAGCGTTCCAGGTGTAACAGACCTAGACAGACAGGTGAAGCGTCAACATGTCCTCTGTTGATCGGAAGGCAAAACACAAGCAAGACTGCAATAGGTACATGTAATACTAGGTCGTAGAGAAGAGTTTAATGGTCTGATGAAAATCGCTCCTTATCTAGTTTGACAGACGGCAGGGTTCTCGTTCGCAGACCCAAGAAATGCAGCATACCATCAGAATAACACTCTGGAGATAACAACATTCGATGGTGGCGGTGTTACTGTTCGATGATGTTTTTCTCGAAACTGTAACTTTCCCTTGCTTGTCATTGATGTAACTTTAGATAATAATAATAATGATAGATAAATTAAAAAAAGTAAGACAGGTAGATAAGGAGATAACACGAATGTAAATGTGACCCGGATACAGAGAAACACTGCACCTGGCTACACAGAAACTTGCGAATATCCATGCTAAGTACACAACTTTGTGACGTTGAATCAATATTAGCAGATAGCGGGACGTCGTGGGCGGTTATTGGTCTCTTGCAATATCGCAAGGAATGCTTCTAGCCGTCAATGAAGAGGACTGGAACCGATTACGCAAATGTCCGTATATGCTAGGTCTATATCTTGCCCTTACCAACGCGACGTTGTACGCGTAATCCCTGTTTCGTAGGCGGTCCCGTACCGTGATCCTTAGCAGAAAAATCCCCTAAAGCAACTGTCTTAATTATTTAATGTACATCCAAACCGTCGTGCCACGTTTTGAGATATTCCAGCATCTAGCTTGCCAACTTCTCTCTCTAAAAAAAATGCCAATATTTTTTCTGATACAGTGTATCGAACACCGTCCGTAAAACGGAAAGAAAGCTTTTGACTGTTCTCTTAGTATGCGTTGCCAAGGTTCGAAACTTGAATGCGCTGTCTAGTGAATACGAACGAAACCACAGTTAAAAGCATTTATCTGTCGGACAAGCTTTTAGCACTATGCTATAATTAGCGGCGAGAACGATAATCTCAGTATATTTTTTTTAAATTGAAATATTAAAGAATACAAATTGTCTTGTTTACTTTATATACTTATATTATATACAAGTATTTATGATTGTCCTTGAAACGTGCACGTCCTTTTCTGCTCTTGATTTAAATTGGTGTCATTGTTGCTGAACACATGGTATTCGTGTTCTATGAGTCATCATTGTAATACACATTGTTGACAGCGACATGTGCTTGAATAAATACAACTATATTCTAAACGGGAAAAATCTACCGGTCGTTCTGTAAAGACTTACCAGTGGACAGGTTTTGCGCAGAAACTAATTCCCCGCTGAGAAAAAAAAAGACCTGAGGATTTATCAAACATTTTCCCACACGAACTCGGTCACTGGTTCACGTATGTTGATATAAATTCTTTATTTATTGTTATGGTAAATAACCATAGTTGCAGATATACGTAAATGTTTCTTAATGTGCAGACTGGGGATATGTGATCACCTTCATTGTAGTGCATGCATTACTAGATATACAGTGTATTTGATTTCTCCCTGATAATAAGAGCTCCCTATTTCTAAGCTACATTTACCTACGACTTTTATTGGATGTTTAAGGTGCATTTTAGTTTCAAATAAATGCACACTAAAGTTACCATAAAGACAAGTTTATTAGAAAACCAACATAACACTGTTATAAAAAATTTCCTGTAAGGCCATTTATCTTAAAATGGAAATATTTTTCATTTTATTATCTAAGTTTAAAATGCACTTGATATTTACATTGTTGATTAATGGGATGTCTTGGTTTCCTTTTTCGCATGGCTTATGCTAATGCGTTATGATACTTCCCGTTTTTTTCGTCAAGAAGATATACATAACGTAATTACACGGTGAAGGTAAAGATTATTTCTTCATGCATCTGTAGCTTTTATAGGAAAACGTTCTTTTGTCAAACAACAAAATATAAGTTACACTTCATCCAGACCGGATACACCACACTACGATTAGAAACAGCATTTCATAGTGATTAAATTAACTTTACTCCAACTTGAACACATAATATTCAATAAACTTAGTAGTTTAAATAATGGTAATAGAGTTGCAATATTCTTATGAATAATTCATTTGAAAACATTAATAAACGCCACGGTTTTTTGGCATTTGAAATTAACTATTAGGATATTTTGATTCATAGATTAATGTTTGTTTGCCAACAGATATGTAGATCTACTCATGCAATTTAGTGTGTAGCAACCTTTCAAACATCTTCCGCATGAATGGTTTCCTTTTCGGCACAAGTAAGTTATTTTACGTTTCGAGATACTATTATTGTCATAATGGTATATCATGTATTTGCTACTTGTTACGATCCTCGTAACAAATTGCCTATAATGGTTAAATGCAGTTTGCTTTTTTACAGGCAACTACAAATTACAAGACTAACAGGTGTACTTGGCTAAGTTCATAATTGTAATTTCATGTAATTGTATTTTTTAACTTTTTATGCATGTTCAAACTACATTCAGTATCATTAAAAGGACATGTTTTAAACTTTTGTAGTTACCACCTTTTTAAATGAGCTACAATCAACAGGCAATGACATATAAAAACTGTGTCCACAGATAATGGCCGGCTTCATTTATACTTTTGTCACTCCGAAATGCCATAACCTGGACATATGATGCCCACCCAGTGGCCAGTAGAGAACACGGTACGTACCATTGAACAGTGTAGACCTAATACATGTACATACAAACTACAAATTTCTCTTAGTCTGAAACAGGATCTTTGTAGTTGTTTAGTTTATTGAAATATTGATATCTTAATTAACAGTGTGGCAGATTTTCTAGTACATAAAGGTGTCATTAAAGTACTAATAGACTATAGTAACACATGCATCGATACGATGAAGAGTACTTTTAAAGTACTTATTAATAATTTATTCGTATTGATGTCTGCTATAAGATGTACTTAAGAAGGATGATAACACGTTTGTATTGTCTGATAAGGCTTGATCGAGCTTTGTAAAAAGCGATGTAGTACACATCATTCCGGATATCCATATGCACATATACACACACCACTGTCAATACGAACTGAGACCTAGTTAATTATAAACTATTTCATACCGATGTAAATATGGCTTTAAATGTCTCTTATCTGGGTAAACACCTTCACACACACACATACCACGCTTCTCTGGCACACCCACCAGGGCTACCCGGCTACCCTTGGCAATGGAACACAACAAGTCAACAAGCCCATACCAATCTTGACCTAAGCTCATCCAACAGCCGTTCACCTGTGACGAATATATCAACCCTGACCACTGAAAACGGTTGGCAATAGAGATTTTTTATCACGTAGTTAAATGCGCCGCTGTAAACAAGCTTCTCACTATGGCAGATTTAGAACAATTCCCATAGCTGTCATCGGTATGTATATTAACACGTGGTGTGTGACTATGTTACATTTATGTACTGCAGCCTTTAATTCCACATAACGTGTACAAAAGCTCGCGTTTGCTAAATGCACAATAATAGGTGGGATGAAAGTATCGCCCTGAGTGAATTAATAGTTTGCCTTTGTACGCTGTGAAAAACCTTCATGAGGTATTGTATAGATATGGCACAAATCCCGTTAGAATTCTGTACATCTGGTGTGAATCACGATACGATTTTGATAAGCTCCATGTTGACATTTGTATAAGGTGATGGATGGTACAACGAACCTATTCGTACTTCTACAAATATAGATATGTTGTTTGTCTTTATCGAGCAGATTCTGTTTTAATCAATTTATGAAATACAGTTCTGATGCCAGATTATAACAGTGATATCTTCGTAACAATTTTTGTCGGCTTAGAAAATTCATTTCAAAATTAATTAGTAATGATGAAGAGTTGTTAAGAAACGTTTACGGATCAGGAATTCATTTTAAGCATACTTCACAAACCAATATATCAAGTCATAATTATAACAGGATAGTTCAAGGTTATCTCTATGCTTTATATGATAAAATATTTATGTATTTGGCAATGTCTGTTCTGGCATGACTGTATTACTTTGTACTTTTCATATGTAAAACCATAAGACGTAGGTGCATTGTATTAATCATATTCCTGGCTTATATTGTATAAAATATAATAAAATTTGTACTTGTTTCAGCATTGAATAAATATGTTAGATCTGTATGTAAATATAAACGAAAGTAGAATACAATTGAAAAGAAAGCATACAATGAACACACAATTAAAATTAAACATACAATTATCATACAATTTACAACATACAATGTTGCATACAATTATCATACAATTTACAACATACAATGTTGCATATAATTATCATGCAATTTACATTAACACACAGTAACAAGTAAGTGTTAAATTGGAACATAATTGAAAGTTAGCATACAATCATCAAACAATTTACAAGATTGCATACAATTTACAAGTTAGCATATAGTTGAAAGTAAGTAGATAATTTACTATTCATTTTATACTGAAATCGCAATACAATTCATTCAATTGTTTTATACTCCCCCCCCCCCATAAAATTGTTAAAATAATAGAAATGAAGCAGGGATTGGACATAGATGTAAACACAAACATAACGACCTCGTATATACTGTGTGTTAACTTTGTAATACAAACTCATAACGCTTGACATACACCAAATAGCTAGAGGTTGTCGCGGATACTGATCAGTAGAGCATGGAAAATTTGTCCTATTTAACATGGCCTCGGTCACACACACATCCTCTCTACTGTCCACATTCAAAATATTACATAATACCAAAAACATAATCTCATACAATTTAGATTTTAAGGATACACAGAAAACATGTAGCATGTGCTATCTACCAGCACCAACCGAGTAAACTGTATAGTTGCTAGGGAATATTTGAGGAAGGTGGATTAATTCAGGTATGGGGTTGTTATGGTAAATGAAAATGAGGATGATAATGTGATTCAAATAGAGAAATGAATGACTGTGTTAACATGCATTCCAGAGGGTTGTATATTGCAACGTATGACAAGCGTATGATCTGTATATTGTTTGTTTTAAATCTTCGAGTGCTATGGTTGTGATCTACTATCGTATATACCTATGTGTACATATTGTCGTTTGATAATGTTTTCATTTGTTGGTAGGCGTGATGTTTGCTTATACTATACCAATGTTAACGTTTTAGTACATATCAATACACATAATTGCTGTACATGCACCATGCGTATGTTTATATAAACAATGGCTTTGGTTTAGATGAGACCTTTCTATCCTCTCCATGTAGGTATTGTTTAGCTTTTTCGTCATTCTCTAAATTTTGTAGTAGAGGTAGATATCAGGTATAGTATACATGTCCTTATTTGTTTTATAGATGGGGAGATAAATGTATCTCTATATGTTATATATTTTGCAAACATATTGCAGAGACTTTGTAGCAGAGAATGTACTACATCCACACAAAAACGAAGAAGGCGGGGTAGTCTTTGGCGACACACTTGTACCTTTATTATCAATACTATAATAATTTCTTAATATACTTAAACACATTTTATAAAATGAATCAGAACCCGGTTGTATTGAAAATGTTTCTTAAATCTAGTACTTAGTATTTTCTATATTCTATTTTGGATTTATGCCAAACCGTAGTGATATCAATTGAATATACAATATACTTTATATTTGTATATATGAATAATTTATATTTGTACATGAACACGTGCATGTGTCATGAGCATTAAATTTTCACTACATATAAAGTTATCTGTGAGCAACAAAAATATATGAAATTAAAAATTAATATGCTCTGTATTCTGAACGATGGTAGACTCGATATGTTTTTTTATCAAACATGAATATACATGTATAGATATACCTAACTCACTTATATATTGCATTTGCATTTATATTGACGCAAGCAATTTTACATCATCATAAATGTACAAAAAAGATGACATTAAGATATAAACTCAATTAGCGACTTCGTGCATGACTTAAAACCTGTAACTTAAAGATAAAATCAGTCCACAACATATGATTTGTGAGGGTGTTGTCCCATCTAAAGAATATAAATCATATGTGAATGCAATTCGCCAAGGCGTTTTTGCAAACTGTTTAATTTTGTGTCAATATCATCACTCCCTAGCAAAGCTGTTCGAGAGTACCTTCATTTTAAGAAAATAACGTAGGTAATTTAAAAGTCTTGTGAAACGAAATAAAAATGTGTTTTGAAATTTCTCCAATACTTTACAGCTGCTGGCGAAACATTTTGCACCATGAAATATAAAGCGTTTACAGAAATGATTATGAAATCTATTAAATTGATATACCGATGAAGGTCCTTATCCATAGATTTATATTGACTTTGGCCATATTCGATATTCCTCAATCATTTCCTGATATTTTAGGCCCATACATCCATATACGGGTCCTGCAAGAACGGGGCAGTTTTTTTTATGCAGTTTGATGAAATATTTGATTATTTCATTGAAAGGTACTGTTCATTTGTGTGTATTTTTGTACAATGCATATGGAAAACGTCTATATATCCGGATGAATTATTCCCTGAACGCGATAGAAATTTTAGCTGAGAAAAATATCAACTAACGACGATATCGAATAGGTTGATTAAACAACGTATTGAACTCATCAAAATGCAAAATAACTCACTAAATTTTACTTGGAATCTGATTTAGTTTGGTTGAACATTATTATTAATTTGTTATGTTATTCATTTATGTTGCAGATGTACAATGGCGAGTGGAAAAGATGCAACCTACAACATCAATAATTTCTGTGATTACATACGGACTTCCTTCTCGGAGTTTCTGAAGCTGCAGCCGACTCTCCATAGAGACGAAGTTCATAGGATACTTCACGAACCCGCCATTATTAGATACTACAGACCGACCAATCAGCCATGGCGGTACTACCTGATCAGCCTCTTTCAGATTCACAACGAGACTGTCAATGTGTGGACACATTTGATTGGTTTTATTATTCTGTGGTGGATTATGGGAGAATTGTCTGCAGAATATGACGTATGGACGGAAATACACTCATGGCCTATGTTGGTATTCGGATTGTGTTGTGTGATATCTACAATGACTAGTGCATGCGTACATTTACTTCACTCCCGGTCTGTATATCATCACTACAGCCTGTTTATGATAGACTATGTTGGAGCCACTGTGTATTCATTTGGTTCCGGTATACAGGCCTTTTACGCATGCTCAGATAAAGCGACTTACGAATACGTAGGATCGAATTACTTGCCGCTATTGACTTTTATGTCATGGCTAAACTTTATAGTACTTTGTCTTTCCAAGTTGCTCTTTGGCCATAATCCATGTGACGTCAGAAGGAAGCTCATGATGATTGCAATGATGACGATCCAAGCCGCACTTGTAACACTTCCGTTTGGGCCTCGCTACTTCCGGTGCTACGTTAGTGATACCTGTTCCTTATCATCTCTTAATCACTTAACTATCAGCTGGATTTTCTTTGCTTCTTGCGCATTTTTCTTTGGAAGCCATTTACCAGAAAAGCTATACCCGGGTAAGTGTGACGTTTTAGGTCAGGGTCATCAGATTTTCCATGTGGTCAGTGTGGTTAATCAAATCTGGCAGTTTCATTCCATGAGACTTGACCTTTCTTCCGGAGCTTCGGATCACACTGACCCCGATATAGTGATTATTATGGTGGCATTCTCGGTGCTTTTAACAGTAGACATAGTCTCATATGTGTTGCTCAAGAAACTTATCCCTTCCTTCGCCAAGGAAGAAAAACAATCCTAATTCAATGGTAGCTATAATTGTGGTGCTGATATGTTTGTGGCGATAATATAGATGATATTTGCAGTAAAGTTCCAAGGAACAAAGGAAGGACAACACATTCACATTCCTTCAACGCGGATATATATATGTACTTTTGTATTTTGCACTCATTTAACAACTAGTTTTTTTTTGTTTTTTGTTTTGTTGTTGTTTTTTTGTTATTTTTTTCGTAAAGATTTATTGCAGCGAACAAGTCAACAAAACTCGGCCTTAAATACCTTGTGTCTCCCCTACCTCCCTATGTATTCTGACGGATTTTCGTATTAACAGGTTTAGCAGATCCGTATTCCCACCATTTACCATCATATAAATAACAACTCTATGATACCAAGACCAACCTAGCCCATCTATTGTTTATATCCAACAACGCAAACGATGAACTGAATTATTCAATGTAGGCAACTTTTTTCTAAACCGGGCACCGTTCTTTTGCTGATGAACTCACGTCATACTTGTTCATCTTCATCGTATTATTAAGTTTAGACCTTTATCGAAATCGTATTTTAACTATCTAAATATATATAGAGGATCTTATACCAATGCCAATTTCATATGAAACGGAAATTCGTGTATCATGTATCAAATTACTTAGATATCAATATTTAGTATTGTGAGACCGGCGTTTGATATTAGACCTTAATATTGGTGATATTTTCATTCTGTGTCTTTGCTGACGTTTTAAAATGCCTTTCCACTCCTTTAAGTTATGTAGTCGCAAATGAAACAGTGGGACATTTCAGCCAATCATAACTCGGCAAGGTGCTTTTGTAAATGTGGTCGTAACAATATTTATGTAATGTGTACTATTGCATTGATAAAAGGGTAGATATGTTATCAAATTAGTATCTATCGAATGAGATTCCGTACATATGAGATTGAGGAAAGGCGTCAAGTATAAAAATTCAAGAATCATTTCCAACCTCCAATATGAAATGAAAACGAGGGAAAGATACATAACTATTCTTTTTACATACTTTTGCATTATTCATGAAAATAGCATTTGATAGACTGATACAAAATGTAAATTGGAACTATTTGTTTTTCTTTGTTGGCGTCACAAACTATACGACGACAAGCAGTTATGACATAACAATGAGAACAATTTAACATTTTATATTTTACAAATGTATCATTAAACGTTCATATACTAGGTATACATACATTGTTAACGGTGATGAAAGGATAGATTGTTGGTTATTACTGAAGATTTCTATGGTTTCTACTATCAGTCAAGTCTGTAGTGTTGTCGTCATAGGTAAATTGTATCTACTGGATTTGGTGATATTTGGTCGTTTACAGATGCCGCAGGTACAGAATATATACCATGATACGAATAGTTATATAACAGAATAGTTTTGAACCATTCTTTATTCCTGTCAACACGTATTTGTGAAAAGTCTTTAAAACCCCGTTTCTTGGATTGGTGATCACTATCTATAACATATACAAATATCAACGATATATCACTAGCACTACCCGTTTAAATTTAAGAAAATTTTAGCAATTTTGTGCCTGTTATGTTAAAACTGTTTTAAGTGAAAATATATAGTTTTAGGCACGTGAAGCGTCTGATATGAACCGTGCATTGTTCACATTCCTGTCCTCAAGCCTATGGCAACAACATAAACTTGTTTAACTGCGAAACGACCATAGCTTTCACCAATGAATCCATATTTTTAACGATGGTAAACATCCCGATACAACGTCATAGTGCCTGATTTGCAAAATTTATTTAGTATAAAAACGTACCTTTAATTGTATTTCTTGTCAGGATTGTTTTGAAATATCTTTCTGTCGTCATAAACATAATGACGTCAGAAGGGAAAAGGAGTATTTAGCATGGCAGCAGTATGAACTGTACCGGTGTCTAATAAGACAATACCTGATGGAGATAGGGCGTTAATACGCAATAGTGTCATTATGTATTATTTTGCATGTTGAATTCGTTTAAAAATACAATGCTTGTATTTATCGCTTGTAATGACTGTTTTAGACACTTTATACAGGTCACATCACAAATAGTTAGTGCTATATATATATATATTTTAAAAATATGAATAATAATAATAATAATAATAATAATAATAAAATTACTTTTAAACTTCCTGTTAGGAATACATACTAGTCTTTTATCATATGTATAAACATGGATCTAAATGTAGTAAAATTCTTGAAACACTGATTTTGCACATTGTGTTTAATTAACACTTTTAGCTTTGTGATAACTGTTTTCCTCTTTTTTTTTTGTTATTTTTTTTTTAATATTTTGTTACATAATCTCTTCATGATTGTGATTAAAGTATCTAATTAAATGAAAATTATGTTTTTTCTGTCTACACATTTATTTATCCTTGACCCAATCTGTAATTTCTCAATAACGTTTTGTCTTTGAAAGTAACTTCGTCGGACAGTATTGAAATGAGATGGTTTTGAAACATTTAAGTATATGCATGTCATTATGTTTGTTTAACATATAAACTACATTGACCAATTCCAATACCCAAATGGTAAAATTGATATAGACATTAAAATTGTATTCAAAGAAAGGTAGAAAACTAGAGAAATACAGAATAGTGTAGAATGCAAAACCATTGTATTCTTTTCATTATCCTGAAAAGGCGAATATGCGGTTAAGGAACCCACGTGAATCGCTTCTTACGATTCCGCGTTGGGATATAGTCCAATACATGTTCCGGATCTTTGCATCTGACGATAAAGGTTAAATGACCAGGAAAATATATAATTTGCAGTCAGCGGGACATCAGTTCCAATCCAATGGTTTAAAATAGTGTTGGATGTCGAGAGCATTTACTTAACCATTTACGGAGAAGGATGCTTTGATGACACTTAAGTCAAAATATAAACACAGAATTACATGGAAACCATTGGAAAGTACAAAACACGTAAGATAAGGTGTTTGTGAAGGGTAAGTGTCTCTTGTTTCATCACTGGAAATAGTGATATAAATCTTGAACATACAAGGCATGTGAAATCAGGTTGCCAAACCGAAAGTTATGTTTACTAAGATCATGTACACCCAGCTTCATAGCACACAAGGAAATCAAGTAATTCTCGATAAGATCATTGTGATGATCATAAAACTTTCACATATTCTTTATCAACCTGCATCCCTCAAAACCCTGTGTTGAACGTGATGTTGCGCAAAACAAAAACAACAAAAAATAAAAAACAAAAAACAAAAAAAAAAAAAAAAAAAAAAAAACCAAAGCAAAACAAAACAAAACCAAAAAACAATGAAAATGTTAACATCAACGGAGTGATAATCCAAACTCTAAAAACTTCTGCGAAATACGATAAAGGAAGATTGATAGGGGACTCCTGAAAATTTTTAAGAAGTATAAGACCAGGTGTTCCGAAATAGCAATTTATCGACGACACCCGCCATATAAATCTTGATCAGTCCATGTAAATATGTCACATTCCCAAATGATAACACGGTTAACAACGACAAAACACCATGGAACATGCGATCTTCGTCGCGTTATTCTGTTTTCATTACATGTACATTTGTTTTTGTCAGGACTATCGTTCACCACGCTGATAAACCCTTCAAAAGGGAAGATTATGACAAAACTTACTTTTTTTTGCATTCAATAAATATGTTAAAATTATCATTCAATGCATTGTTTTACGCTTTAAGTTTGTTCTCACAAAGTTGTAAAGGTGACTTTCACAAATCGATCATCTAATTTCTTCCTACTGAATGACTAGTAACAGTAGCTGTTTTGAATACCTTCCCAACAACGTGTTGGGATAATTCTCTGAGATGTTATCCCTTTGTGTGTTCAGTGTAGCTAAACCATGATTTTATCTAATTTTTAGAAATTTCAAAATTAGCCTTGCCTCCTAATTGGAAACTTAAAGGGTATGAGTAGTTAACTTGACTGCGTGGGTAGATGATGTCATAGGGGAAGGTAAAGAGAAGGGTGGGGTTATGCTAGATTTCAATGTAAATATCAACTTTATGCATTCTGCCACGACATATGAATACTTTCTACTGAAAGAGTAAAGGGAAAATCGCCTATTGTGGTAGTAGTGGTAATATTGACGTTTGAATACATGTGTTTCGTATCCTATGTATCAGAACTTATTCAATAACAAGATGTTCATAGTAGTGTACTATAAGTTGAATCACAACCACGGGTAGAACTACATGGTATGGATAATCAGTTCCATTAATAATCTCAGTAAAACATCTAGAAATATCTCATGTTGGCAAGGGGATTTTTCATATATATTAAAACTTGTAAAGTACATTTCAATTATTGCATAAAATCACATTAAATAACATTGACGACATGATCAAGCACGACAGCGGCTCTACAGTGAAGATTTATACATATGCTTATAGGTCCGTCACACATAGGTATTTTCCTCCAACGTTTTTACCTGAAAGTCATTCATGCGTACCATTCGTATTCCACGGAACACGGTTAATGTACGCTATATCACTATCTCGGCTAATGAAATAATTAGCCTTTTAGAAACTTGCTATGATCTTGTTGAATACCTTCAAGCGTGAATACAAAATCTGAACAGACGGAAGGGATGTGGCGCTGTTTTCAGCGGGTCCTTGCTGGTAAGTAATAACAAAACATTGATTTAATAATTAATTGATGTATGATTCTTAATTAAATCGATTTATGTATTAACTACGTATATTCGCTGTATGTAATTCTGATTCCAGACTGAGGCTTGAACAATTAAGCTGCCTGGCCATCAACCCAGACTCGGCTAAGTTCTTTTACTTTAACTTCATGTTTCAGCTCAGATGTCATTGTCTCACATTCTCTAGTCTAATGCACATTAGAATACAAACTACACAACCTTTCTAATTCACAATATATTGTCATTTATTCTTACACTTTAAACAATTCAACATTTTTCAGTTAAGTCGATACGTTTAATTGTCTACTTAAATGAAAAGTTATTTTGTCTTTGGCTTCTTTTTAGCATATACCTCAAAAGGTTTCTTTTGCGGAAAATTGTGGCTTTTGCTCTCAGTGCCTATCGCTTCATTTCACGTATCATCAATTTCGAAAATAGCGTTTAGAAGAATTCTTTTGTTTTGTTGTCGTGTCTAATTGTATGTAATTATATATTACAGTTAAAGGTGACATTTGAACAAGTAGGTTAATGTTCGAAAATGAAAAAATAGTTTTTGTCAGATTTATCATTCATTGCTACCTAACAACGTTTCCCAATGATTGATAAATAAATCATTTGATACTTATCATTGAATTTTCATTACATGAAAAACAAAAATGACTTTTGTAATTCTATATAAAGCATTTTTTTTACCATTATGATACTATAGGACCTACAACCTATAAAACAGTTTATTGACTGTGATGATAAATGATTAATTAACATTGATACGGATTTATTACCAGGATCATGTCTTCATTACGTTTTTGTAACCTTAGGACTATATGGATATTTCTCTGGTTTCACAATATGTTATAAAATCCGATTAAAAAAGAGATCTGCTTATCGCACATAACAAAAGAAATAAAATTCTCATAACATTGTACATAGCATACCTTAATGCAAAGATCACCGTTACGTACTTTGTCAAAAACTCATTAGCTGGTCTGTCACCTAGTTACCGAAATGTATATCACCGAGTGCAACGAGCAGGTGAAAATGACAATAGTTGGTTAATTAATGTAGATTTAAGACACCTTTTGGAGAAAAATCATTTGAATGTCATACAGTTAACTAAATTACTATTTTTAAACTATTTAGTGCAATGGTAAATTCATGTGTTCGCAATAGTTGCTATTTCAACGACAAACAGAACCTTCGTCATAATGTTTTTTTTTACCTTCTCTAAAAACAATTGCAATCCATGAAAAAGGTATTTTGAATATATAAAAATAATGTGAAAATGTAAGTTTTCACTTGAACAGAAGATCTTAAAACTACATGCCATAAAAAAGAAATAAATTACCGATATCATGATATCATTTGTTTGACGATCTTCCAGAATATAATTTTTTTCAAGAGACTTGATGATTCAATAGATACATTTTCGAATGTAATTTAGCATTTTTCACCCAAATAGCAAGTATTTCCAAGATCAATAATCTTAAATATTTGTTTACGGGTACCTAGCAAAGAAAAATCCTTGAAATTGTTGACCTTATTAACCGAATCACGCCCTCAACTGCGCCATTAAATATGTAGTCTACAAGCATAATCTATCCAAAATATCATACAAATAGCGCCATTCAGCTTACTAATACAACTATTGATAACAAAGTATGAAATAACCGAAGAGTTCAAGATATTGAATTGTGTCGTATTTCCGGTCAAACATCAGGGGAGAACATCCTTAAGAGTACTTCAATTCAGCATGCTCAAAATACTTGAAGACAATGAAGTGAATGATGTAAAATATTCCGTAAATTAGATTACTTTTATTGCACAATCAGATTTTATAAAATATTATGTCGTCAGGTACAGATGTACAATGGCAACCTTCAAGAGAGCCAACGACCTGGTAAATGACCTATCAGATTACATACGGACAACATTTTCCAAGTTTTTAAGGCTCCAGCCAACTCTCCATAGAGACAACGTCAATTATATACTTCACGAACCCGCCATCATCAAGTACTATAGACCGACCAATCAGCCATGGCGATACTACCTGATCAGCCTCTTCCAGATTCACAACGAAACTCTCAATGTGTGGACGCACCTGATTGGCTTCCTTATCATGTGAGTGATTCTGGGTAACCTGTTCATGGAGTACAATATATGGACAGAACGTCACTCGTGGCCAATGTTGGTATTCCTATTGTGCTGTGTTGTGTCTTCCATGTTAAGTGCATGTGTACATCTGCTCCACTCTCGATCCGTGCATCACCACTACAGTCTCTTCTTGATTGACTATATCGGGGCGACTATATATGGATTTGGCACTGGGATGCAAACATTTTATGCATGTTCGGATAAAAGCTCGTACGAATATATAGGGTCAATGTATCTTCCGATATTGACGCTTGTGACATGGATAAACTTTTTGGTGCTTGCACTTTCGAAAATTATGTTTGGTCACAACCCAAATGACGTCAGAAGAAAGCTTATGATGATTGCAATGATGACAGTTCAGACCGCTGTCTGTTCTCTTCCGATAGGACCTCGTTACGTGCGATGCTACTACGACGTAGAATGCCATCTTTCTTCTCTAAACCATTTATCATTAAGTTATATTTTACTTATAGTGAGCGCATTTTTCTTTGGAAGTCATTTACCTGAAAAAATTTTCCCTGGTAAGTGTGACGTGATAGGTCAAGGCCACCAGATTTTCCACGTGATCAGTGTCGTCAATCAAATGTGGCAGTTGCAATCCATGCGAATCGACTTTTCGACTGGAGCTTCGGATCACACAGATCCCGATATACTGATCATCATGGCGGCATTCTCGATTCTTTTGTTGCTTGATTCTATTTCTTACGTTTTTCTGAAGAAAATCATCCCTAACTCATTCAAGGATGCAAAACAAACCTGATTTGACAAAGTGTTGAAGTTATTACACTGTGTTGCTAAGATGGCTTTTCTTCGAAGAACATTTTTGTTTTTCATTGCTCATTTTTTCAGTTAAATCATAAAAAATAACCAAGGTATTTTCTGTAAACTTATATCAGATAGTACGGCACTGAAATCCGTCCCTTCATTTTGTCATTGAAGATCAAAGATTCCCGAGGAAACTGAATGAAGTGTCCATTTACTTATCACAAGAATACCATACTAATCACCTCCAGATACAAATGTCAGTGAATTATTTTATTTAAGCTTTGATAGAAATATGTTTTAGTCTCCTGCTTGTACTAAAGAAAATTTGATTTGCAAACTGAATAAATGCGTGTAGAAGTAAATTCTTAGATACGTCTTAAAACCAAAAGCAACGTACATATATTAACTGAAGGACTATTCACAGGACAAATCACTACGCAAAAGAGCTTGCGTAACGCCATTTGACGTCATTGACGGCTAATTCGCGCCATTTTCAGTAATTCAAAATTCTTATGAGTTGGCACAGAAATTTATAGTGTCATACAGTGGAATGAGGGGCTTGGGGAAAGAGGAACTAGTGAAACACTCTTGGCTGATACTGACACAACAGATAAGGTATCGCTGAAGTTTGTATCATGTTGATCTGATTGGTCATTCAGAAAATCATTTAGGCATTATAACCAAATACTTAACCAAGATTTAAATTCATACCTTTATCATATGTGTGAAAATATAAACAGTTAAGTTTAATTTTCCTGAATGATATATTCATTTTTGTGTACATTATGAGATATTTAAATAAAGTATGTTGTTGTCTGTTTTGTTTTACATAATGGATTGACAGCATTCTTCAGACACTAGGCGTACCAAGAGGGCAGAGCTAAATATCTTTAAACCAGAAGTGACAAAAACATGAATAAGAAAACAGTTATTCAGCGTACGAACATCGAACAATCATTTGTGTACGAATCTTAAGTCAAACCGATATTTTAAGATACCAACAGATACTGAGACTAACTGTGAGGAGAAGAGGAGGTCGAATGGAAAAACGACAAATTGATTGGCATTTCAACTTTTATTACAGCAAAATTATAAATTTTCCTGGTCGATAGATTTTTGTTGACTGTTTATATGTTTATCCACAATGTACAAGAAATCTATCTGGAATTTCAGATCTCTCGACAATAATTGCTAGAGAGGTAAATGGTGACTAGAATGAATCATACGTATTTTTACAATGGACAAAAAACTAGAATAGATTACAAGTCGCGTGCAATAGTGTAGATTAATGTTATATGTAAGTGTTTATCTGATTATTACAAGGAATTATTATGTCAAAGACAGATAACGATTATTAGAATCACGCCAATCATGCAATTGATACAGAAACAATAACGCAATGGGTCAGAGTATGATAATTGAAGTCAACCGCGAGATTTTGCAAAGATTCTCGTTTTTTATGTCTCATCCTGATGGCTGGTAACGAATGTTTTTTTGGCCAAGAATCTATGTTTTAATAAATTTCTGAACACAACTGGGTGTGGACAACGTATGAGAAAACGGTCATATCGTAACAGCTTTATAACTGTAAATGTTTAAGTAAAATAAACAGTAGACCTTACAGACGATTCAATTCTGACAGATTAAAAGAAAACTTACTACCAAACTGTGAGATATAAAACAAATAAGAACTATTGTTAATGAAAAAGGCGTCGATACGACTGTTTCAAAACTTCGACCAAGAAGAAAATTATCGATGTCAACCTTCTCGCAGAGGCATATTTTTTGAGAAAACCATAAAGCCATATTCATTGAGCAAACATTAGGAACATATTTATTGACCAAACAATCGAGATGTATACTTCACAATTAATACTAACATCCTTGATGAGCCCTAGGACGAAATACGTGTACGGTGAAATTTAATTCATAATTAGGCTCTGCTGCATCTTAACTTAATAAGATGAGTATAAGTTGGTACACTTTTGTCTAGATTGTAGGCTGTTTAAATGTTAAAAGTGAATGATGACAAGGTAATTTGCCATATTAACAGCTTTGAAATCTTTTGCTATATTTTAATTTTCTTCATTACTGCACATCAAGATGATAGGTAAGGCCAACGCTGCATTTAAAACATATAAATAGTAAAAGCGGTAAGGCTAAGGTTTATGGTAAATTCAATAGATAAATTATAGCCAGACTATTTGAAATTCCTTTTTTAATTATTTATTATAATATGGATTTAAATTTCAAATTTTAGTTTATACAAAACATAGGAAACTATAAACTTTCTGTTCATATTTCCAATTGTTTTTTTAAACTCGTTTTGAAGGATTCTTGATACAAAAGGAATATCTAGAAATAACGTCTGGAATGTAGAATTTGTTCTGTAACACGCATGATTTGGCCTCAGATAAGCTCCGTGGGTCCGACTTGGGCATAAAGTGATGTATGATGAGGTCAGGATGTTTGTAAGTTATAAAGACATCACGTGATTAATTGATCAATGATCAGCGAGAATTGGGACGCCAAATTGCAGAGTAGAAAAACATGTTTTAGCGGACAGACAGTAAGTGGTGTGGTGTGAGAAATTTACCAGAATGCCACCGTTTCTGACAACGCAGATGGCGAACCAGCAGTCATTTCATGACACAACTAACAAGTATGATTTTCGCCATGAGTGAGCAAACGAGGTCTATTCAGGAGCGACTGCATCAAATTGAAAATTTCAAATTGAAACTGCTGGGTCCCCGCAGCATCGACAGACTGCTAGTGAATCGGCCGATACACAGGGAACATGTCACCGAGCATGTCAACGAATCACCTGTCACACATTAAATGAATTCGGTTATACTCAGGGTATTAATTTCTACTAGCCGCCATATATTCAAATCGTACCACTTGTTATAAGTAGGAACATCTTAGAATGTAAGGACACCTCATAACATTACTTATATCATACTTTCATGGTCCCAACGTTAACGGCGGTAGAGAAAAAACTAACCCAAGTCTACAAAGAAAACTAACCATTGGGGAACTCATTCAAGTGTACAGAAAACAGTATGTGAAGCCTACCCACACCTGCAAACTGAGATGAACAGGTATGAAAGAGACATTGTAGATACGGAAACCAAGTAGGGAAGGATGGGTTCTATGAAAATCACAAAGTACTTTTTCAACAAAGAAATCAGTAATAACTACAAATGATATAATCTTTATCGGTGTAATCACTTTATCTGTAAACAAGAACATTTAAAAATTAAAAAAGGTAATCAGGAGACAAAATAAAACGGCAATGCCTCTTAGTCCAACAATTAATGAGAGAGTCATTTGAGGCTTCAAAGTACAAAAGTGTCAACATTGAGGTACTAGAGAAGTTACTTGCTCACCACCCTTATAGACATTTTGTAGAGTAACTCATTGGTGGATTGAGACAGGGTTTCCACCCGGTTTTCAAAATGTTTCCCTGTCTACATTTGAATGTAAGTAAAAACCTACAGTCAGCTAGGTCACAGATAGACACTGTCATATTTAATACTTTAAGAGATGCAGATGAATAAACACCAATGCCCTTCCAGGTGTATAAGATAAATCCCATTGAAATAGCTTAGGGAAAATACTCTAAAATGATGATGCAAACCAGGGCTTTAATTAGCTAGAGTATTCTTTACATTATTTTACAATAGAGGATGCACTGTAGATTACCAAACGTTAAGATCAATTGGATCACTCATCACTCTGACCGTATCAAGGTATCAAGTGAGACAGAAAGTTCTATTTTTACACCTGACTAGTGTTTGGCAGTAAGTTAAATCTTAAGATATTTGACTTACTATCCACAGTGATTTGCTGGATAGCGGAAACCGATTCAGTGTCAGACACGTGTAGCACCTATTTAGACGATCTTTTTACCATTGACCCTCCAAATTATCCTGGAAACGACACTGTATAACCTCATGGATATGTTTCATTTTTACAACATTCCTAAATTAAAACCTTGGACCAACAATATGTTTAGAGTACTAGGGTATTATAATGGATTCGGTTAATATGAAGCTGTGGATGCTAAAGGAAAAGTTGAATGGATATGTGAATTTCTGTTGGTGTTTAAAGACAAGAAATATTGCACTAAACTTGAACTTCTCACGTTTTTATGCCTTTTGAACATTGCTAGTCTATACATTTCTCGCGGAAGGTCATTTGCCTTCTACATGATTAGTTTATCAAACAATGTGAAAGAGTTTCATCATCACATGTATCAAAATTGAAATAATGTTTCTTTTTTTTAATGACAGCATTAAAACGGCAGCTGTCTTACATTTATCTACAGACGATAAAGACCAAGAAATTGGAGGTGTGTACGGAAATCACCAGTTTCACGGGAAACGTCCTACTGGCCTGACAGTAGGTGACAAGAAAATATCTATGGCTTCTCCAGAACTTAACCCAATGGTAATGTGTTGCGTATTCGAGAGATGAATGATCAAGACGTCGAATATTATTTAAGATGGCTATGGTTGATATTATTAGTAAGAGAAGATCTAAAATTAGTGGTGTTATTTAAATGATGAGAAAAAATAAACATTCTGTTTAAAAATATCACTTATGGCCACACCGAGAAAACTGCTACATGTAGAAGGATATGTTTGATACCATATTATTATCATATGACTATCAACCAACATATCATTGTAGTTAAATTAGAATTAAAATAGGTTATGATATTCAAAGAAGACAAAATTTATTTTTGTCTCTACAATCTCTAATATGAAAAGCCATGGAGGTTTTGATTTTACAGTTTCATTAATCAATGTGAGTAAAGTAAAACAAAAACATCAAAAATGCGTGCAAAAGGAATATTTATTCAATAAGAAAAAAATGCAGTTTTATTATAGTGACGGGATACTGATTACAATGGAAATAGAATGAAACTATGAAAAATGACAATATGATCGTTGAAAGGCCACAGCATACCGACTTGTCACTGACAGTTCTGATTTCTGAATGTTTAAATCAAGTGCATATCACTAACTCACACCATGATTAGACGCTGACACCGCCTCACCATATAATTGTTCGTTCCTAACAACTTTGATTCCAGTTCTTTTGTTTAAAAATTACAATTTGTTCATAATTTTTCATTACTGAAAATGGCAATATCCCCTTGTACATCTCGGTCGTTCTTAAGCGATGGTGTTAATACTTGTTTTATTTCTGTTTTTGTCGTCAGAATAATTTATGTATCATGTTTATTTCAGTTAGCAGGACAATATGGCCAATTCATTGATACGTAAGTTATGAATCATAGCACTTGTTGCAATGATAAAAAACTGTCTCTTCGTCTGTTGGGTCGGTGTCTTTAAGAATCAACAATGGCGATGGTGTCTCGGTTTCAACTCTATAGTGTAGAGAAGAGAAATGTAAGACTCAGTACAGCAGCTATAGGTATCTACATTGCGAACGACAGTTGTGTTGGTTATAACCCAGTCATCATCAACGGAGTACTCGGACATGTCAACAATACCGCCGCTATTGACCAGGTCCATCTTGTTACCAGAGTATGTCCAGGATCCCAGCTTGACATGACACGTGTATACCTCTTCAGCATCCGTGGAAACCTTGCAGGTCAACACCGTTTTAGTTTGTGGTACAAAAATTACCAGACCATTGTCTTTAATAGCAACACGGATGTCCTTCATAATTGGTTCAGGATGGTAACTGAAACCATTAACAAGATGCTTGGGTATTAATTGCAAAATAGTGAAATTTCAGTAAGAATAATTACACTTCTCCCGACAAAGACATAGATAAAGACATTCATAGAGGTTATTTAATAGTTTCCAATTTAATACCATATATACATATATATATTTCACGAGAATGACAGTATATCTATATTTCGCACTCGTGGAAAATATAAATATATTCTGTCATACGAGTTTTTTTTTATTGACATTTTAAAAGGAAAAACAAATGCAGAAACGCTTATCAAAACATGAAATAATGTAGTTTTCAAAAAGCTTAAATATTAGCGCGCAAATATTAACGATACAATTTACAAGACGAAGCCATTTTTAATCGGCTACTTTACGATGTATTCTAACAATTCATTATGTAATCTGGTGAGAATCACGTACAAGACTGTTTTTATTCACCAAATTAGAAAAAAAGACCCAAGAAATGTACACGGAAGTAATTTGATGAAAATCAACTTATACGACGCTTTATCTACGTCCGGACTGGAAAATTAAATATTGATTGTTAAGTCAAAAGAACGAAGGTGATATCATCACCGGTAACGTTCTATCCCTAGTGATGATACAGGGTTTTTTATGAATAAAGTAATAGATTGCTTTATTTCACTAGCAAAAATGTTATAAACATATATTCCATCACTGTAACAAAATTGCCGAAGGAAGACAAGGTTTGACTCGTAACCTATACGGGCCTTGAACTCACGATCTACGACTCCATATGGTCTATCCAAGAAAAACTGCTTCACCATTACACCACCACTACATCCCCTAAAAAGTATGTTTTGGAGGTTGTACTGATAGGAAGCTGGAGATTCTCGAAATAATCATATTGGCAATTTGTCTACGTGAAATGATCACCTGTATCGCAATATGTATACATATATGGTTACAAATTGTGCAACTAACACATGGTAGTAGCACATGCCCATGACAGAGACTGACAAAATGGGAATGGGTAGAAATTAATTAAAAATAATATTCTTTTCAAGAAGTCTCAGAATCAAATATTCTTGCAGCACAACCACATTATAATGTTGAGTTACATTAACGAAAGGTTACCAGTTTACTTGGGTAAGCATTAACTTTAACAATTTGAAGATACCGAATTAGGCAGTAAACCCATTAGAGACCCTTAGTTATTATAGATCTTTGAGAAAGTGGTCAATGGCATTTTCACAACATTGGGTTCTAGATGAAGATCTTTTAAGCTTGCGAGATGAAGATTCTAAAAATTGTAAGGTCGCCATAATGACCTCGATCGAAAAAATTCGATTTCCTTGTGCGGTATGGAAACGAATATGTTTGATGTTTAGTAGTTTGCTTGGTGGTTCCGTTATTGCTTACCATGCTGTCATTTGAGATTCACATGGCGGGTGTTGACGAGGAAGCAGAAGACGCTTTACGTTCAGAAACACTTGACTTATTCTACTGGTACATTTCTTATTTCTTCATATTTCGCCCGAAACTAATACCTAAGATCGATTTTTTACTTTAGATAAAGATTACATGACAGTATTGACTTCTTTGGTTTTCTACCAAGAGAATAAAAAATGATAGGCCATATCTAATAATATTTTTCAACATGACATAAATCAATGCTTTCATTGCAATACATGTTGTAGTCATTTAAAGCGACAAAATATAGAAATGCATATTACGTGTTGTACGTAGTGACATCCGGAATCCATACTTGATCATGGAAAACACTGACCATATTCACGTTGTTATACTTTGATGGGACCCATTTCAAAGATGGATCAATCCACATCATCGATGACCACGTATTGAGCTCAAGCAGGTGACGATCCTGTCATGTAAAATAGATTGGCACCAGAAGTATATTGATTAAAAAAATAATGTGCATACATAAATTGCTGCATAAAAGGACTTATTAATGACACATATCACTTTGTCAAGTTTTTTCTTTCTTTATCAAGAGGGTATCATGACAATTTTGTTGTGTTGTGGAATTGTTTGATTGCGTTTTTCAAACTCTTTTTAAGCAAACTTCATGATGATCATAATATTACAATGTTTGTGTCTGATGTGTAACTAGACGCCAAAATTTACTCATGCGTTAAAAATATAACAAGGGAAATAAAAAGAACAAAATAACCAATAGAAAAATAAGGAAAAGAAATAAAACGGTGAAATGCTATATCGTTATATTCATTATCTATAGAGATGTGACATGCGATACATTTTAGTACAAAGACGTTAGGTTGACAGTGTGATTTGATAAAACATTGCATTGTGCTACGAGACTTTCACACTCAATGTGTTGACTCCTATTTGGATAGACTCTGTGGTCATGTACACTTACAAATTTTCGGATTGAAATCACTGTCAAGCCATGGTCTACAGTAACTAAGGGTTCCTCCGCAGTAATTGGTATGACGTTAGTATCGTAATCGTTTAGCAAGTCCTTCACCAGTTTCTTTTCCAAAAGGCAATGACAGCCTGTATAAAGTATAACAATCTTGTCATAGATGTAGGGTACGACAAACATATTCAAACACCGACAAAGTTAAACCTCTTTAAAGAATGCATGTCTTGAAAATTCCCAAGTCGACGACACATAAAAAGGAACTGTTCAGCGTTCTTAACCAAATAAGTTAACTCATGACTTTTCAGACTGTGTTAGATATTAGCTGTCGAATGCCGGAGTCCAAATGACCGTAAACTGACACTTTCTTGTATCTGTCTCAGTGCAAGGGTAATAATTTTCTAAAGAAACTAGGTGACATTGCGTTGTTCCAATTTTTCGCATTCTGCAGTATATGAAATTCTGATTCATATTTGAACTGTTTAAATCATTCTACAGTATCAGTACAGAATGGTATTAAGGATGACATTTTTGGTCAGATGGCCTCTAACGCTAGACCTAAACATGGATAATGAAAAGTTTGATATGGGTATATTTCATAATCGAATTTGAAAATTCCTTCATCATAATGCTGTCATAGATTACGAAGTTAAGATGGTCTTTGTCTCAAGTAGCGGTTACCATATTACATCACCGTTGAAATATAGGCCTTATAGCATAACATTTGGATGTGAAACAAGAGTCATGATAGACATCTTTTCGACAGTAATAAAATTTGCATTCCCGGACACAAAATTTGTAAATAATAGACAATATTAGAAGTCGGAGAAGTGCTGTTTACACCTTCATTCCATAGGATATAAACAGAGATGCGGCATCACTTAGTGTAATAAAAAGTTAATGACAATAAGCTTAGCAGTAGCAACTCTCAATTAATGTAATAACCATCACAATCTACAGGGAACAAAAAAGGCAACAAAAGGGTGGATAACAATAGGAACAATTGAGAGTAAACTAGGGGAAAAGGGAGGACAAAGGAAGAACAATCAGAACAAGACGATTTACGAAATTGTGAGAGTACTACAGGTGAAAGCACCATGACGTAGGCAGACTATCGCATACCGATGATTGATAATTTATCTTAGCACGAATACGAAAAGGGCAGATTTCATGTAGTGTACAGCATTGTCAATGTTTAATAACAAAAAAAAAAAAAAAAAAATGGATTTTTTATGTTCGTGAAATCAATGTTTATTTTACTATTGGAGTAGTCTAATACGGTAAACTGTCAAAAGCAACTCATGATTTGTTCATTCAACATCACATAAATCAGTGCATTCAATGTTTTCTCAGTCGTGATTACTCTGTTTTGAAGACAGGCTTAAGCTGATGCATATTTTAACGTTCTTTCAACAGCAATTGACAGTTTAAGAAAGGAACCCAAATCATTTCCCATAGGGGCGAACGGTCAACAAAAGGCCTAAAGGGAAGAAGTGTCAAAGAGACATTAGCAAGTAAGATCTCCAGAAAAAATGTTAACATAAAGATAATATCAGCCGCCTCTTACAATCATGCAGTTGCAGTAGCAGGTACAATTATTACACTCTACCTGTAGAGCAGTTGATGTATCAATACATGTATAACCTTTTTCAATTATTGTGACATGAAAACATTGTAAAACGATCCAAACCCATTACTAGTGTAATATGTAGAAAATTATTGTTTAAAAGACATTCATAAATTAAGCAATATTTTCATGCAAATGTAAAAGACGAAAATGTAAACAATTTTTTTTCACTTACCGGTTATCGTAGCCAGGACGGCCATCAGACCGAAGGTTAGTGTGGGGTGCATATTGGTATCAGAAAACTGTTTCAGACTGGCGAAGTGCTCAGCCTTATATAGTACGGCAATTTGCGCTACGACACGGCTGCTACAATTTCCCAAGCTTCTAAAACGCTCTGACATTTCTCAACTGTCATCATTACTCACCACGTGACTAGTTCGTCTCGTACAGAACTGTTATTACAGTTCTTTCAAAAGGTAAAGAGTTAAACGGTTATAATAGGGGTCTTTCATAATGTGTGTAAATGTCTTTGTGTGTACTTTTGTGCTAATTAAGGGAAAGAGTACCAGTGCACTGGCAATTCCTGTTAAGAAGAGTTCCATCTCTGTAATCCGGCTCCTGTGTAAGTGAAACAAAACTTCTTCTCCAGATTATACTGTAGTATAAACAATGTATATTTTTATATACTTGTATGTGTTCATCAATATATTCCTTCTAAACAAAAAAAAAAAAAAAAAAAAAAAAAAAAAAAAAAAAAAAAAAAAAAAAAAAAAAAAAAAAAAATTAAAAAAGTAAAACCCGAGTTCCTCTCCTGTAAATATATCTAAATGAACACACTCGAGTATCTCTCCTGTAAATATACCTAAATGAACACACTCGAGTTACTCTCCTGTAAATATACCTAAATAAACACACTCGAGTCCCTCTCCTGTAAATATACCTAGATGAACACACTCGATTTCCTCTCCTGTAAATATACTTAAATTAAAACACTCGAGTTCCTCTCCTGTAAATATACATAGATGAACACACCCGAGTTACTCTCCTGCAAATATACCTACATGAACACACCCGAGTTACTCTCCTGCAAATATACCTACATGAACACACCCGAGTTTCTCGCCTGTAAATATACCTAGATGAACACACCCGAGTTCCTCTCCTGTAAATATACCTAGATGAACACACCCGAGTTACTCTCCTGTAAATAAACATAGATGAACACTCTCGAGTTCCTCTCATGGTATTGATTTTTTAAAAGTTAATATAAATAAATAGATAAAACTCACAACGAAAATAACCAAATAAATCGCATAGAAATATATATAACATTGCAGGAGGAACTGAGATAAATAATTTATTCATTAATCCTGTTTACCTTCAGGAAACACTGTTCAATGACCCTTCTTTAACGTTATAGGTATTCATATATCAGTCGTATTCGGGTGGTGAAGTGGTATCCCATTCGCCTTTCACCTTGACATCAAGGATTCGATTCCTACTACAGCCGTGAAAACGGCACAGACTCACTTGTCCGACTACATCACTATTCCGGTTTCCTCCCACTATAAGACCCCTCGCGTGGTTCTAACACGATGGTTATGTAATTACTTGTTCCGCAATTTGGTATGAAATAGCTTGTATAAATTCTAATTATTGACAACCAATAACAAAAACAACGGTAGATGTGAAAAATTGGGCATAAATCGTGGTGTAGAAATAAATCTGAATTTCTTGAGGATTCGAATAAAGAAATTAGTTCATGTCAATTTCTCATGAAGTAGTTCTAGGGTCATTTAATAAAAAAAATAGATATTTACAAACAAATACTACGTTAACCAATAAAACTGAAGGAGAGTTGTTACCTCAATTTTGTTGTATATAGACTAATTTATGTGCCCCCGACAAAATGTCAAACGTAAATGACTCTCTGAGAACAGCCACGACAATTTAAAATTGTGGTGATGTATGACCAGGTTATATCGTGGGAAATGTCAGTTAATATGGTTATTTGTTTTGATTTGATGGTCAATGTATATTTTATTACAGTAAAATTCTTGACCAGTCAGAGGTGCATGTACTTTGAATGGAAATACAACGCGAACAGAATGCCCGTGAGAACTTAAATCTTCCAGATATGCGTTGAAAGTTGAAGAAGCTTCTGAATTTCAATTCTACTTCATGATTAAGTGATTTGTCTTTACAAGTTTTGATACTTCGATAATTTGTTGTAATAATGCAATTGAGGACTAGTTATGTGTTTTTAAATGATTTTGTCGATGTGATATTGTGAGAATGGTTTTGAGTGTGTCGAGGATTTCTTTAGATATAATTTTATCTAACAATTATTTCCTCATAACGCTGGAATTTAAATATGCGCTTGACCCGAACAGTTATTTTAGTATGAGCACAGAATCACAACTTGTTTCTGACTCTTTCCAAATTTTTATGCAGCTTAAGTAATAAGGGAGAGATAGAAAACTGAAAAATAACATTTTAACAAATTAACTAATTACTGATAAAAAAGGGGATTAATTCTTCTCGTAAATTGTCTCATTTGATTCGATAGCAGACAAAAAGTCCCGTTATATATATATATAGAAAAAACTTGATTTGACGAGATGAGAGTAAATTATAAATAAAAATGATTTTTGACAAAAGAAGAAAGACGTTACATTTTGCACTAGCGCTTTCACTGTATTAGATCTTCAGGTGCATAGTAACTGTACATAATGGTGTGGCGTCACAACATGTTATCTGTTGATGATGTCATAATATAAAAAGGGCATAATTATATTTTGCAAAATTTACAATGCGGTTAAACATTAATATTCAAGTCTGGTTTTAAAATGTTTATAATTTCTGACTCCTTGGCTTCTCTTTGTATTCGACGGCTTTTTCCAAATCTTTCCCCTGTATACTTTTTCATCTGAAACCAATAGACATCTACCAATCAGCCGACACATAGCAGGATGCAACGACGGCTTTTATATAAAGGCTTATCGGGGGAACTAGAAACTAGCTACATGTTTATTCCTCCGACCCATATTTAGTGTCTTTAGAATACACGCCATCAATATGTTCTGAAAGCGGGGTCAATGGAAAGACTGTCATTTGGGTATTTATCACAGACCAGTGTACATGTAGCAGTGTGTTGATGGAACATTGTGAGACAGTAAAGGAAAACAAACGTAATGTATTTCTGGACAATACTTTTGATGGGGTTGTTACCTGTTTTAAGAACTCTTTTGATTATAATAAGGATGTTTTCTATTTTGATTGCTGATGCAGCTATATTTTCAGTTGGGACCATTTTAAAATTTGTTATATGACGCCTAGATGTTTTGATAAAGCAAAGCGACGGTTTCAAGAAAATAATGATGGAATATGTTTTATACTGATTGTGTTCATTTTGTATCACGTGGCCCAAACTATACATCTGTCGAAACGAAATGTTATAAGATAAACTATGTTGTTTATGTAGGGACTTAAGAACCGCACGACAGACTTTTTATCTGACGTTCAATATTTTCTTTAACCCCTTAACTCCCAACTACGCACTTCTATGCATGGTGACGTCAGTGTTGGGAAACAGTCCTATCTCCCTTATTTGTGAAGGTATTGATCTACTGGTTATATCTCATGAATTTGTAGAAAATGTTTTAGTCGTATTTCTAACGCTTTTGCGAGTTGAAAATACCAGGGATTTTTTCCCGAACATCTTGGATTGATGACGTCGTGTGCATGATGGACGTAAATGTCTATTCACAGGTCAGGTTTCTATTCCACATATGTCTATGGCAGCCATATTGGATTTTTGGGGTACTAAAAAGCAGAAGAATCGACACCTTTAGATACATACCTACAATATACTGGATATACTATAATGGTATATCTTAACAATAAAAAATGTGGAGTCCACAAATTTCGGAATAATAATAAGAAGAATAAGAAACATAACAATATAAAGAGGTCTTTTCACCAGATGGTGAAAAACCCTGATTAGACAGCCAAATGAAAAATGTACCACACAACACTTTGAACTTTGCTATTCTTGTTCGTATAGTTCTTGATAGATAATTTCAGCCATGATGTTTGGTGACAATTACTTCCATCTTTAAGAAAACATAAAAAAAACGAAATGGAAAATACATAATAGAGAGTCTTAACTATGATGTTGAACGACCTTGACCTATTGACTGTTTTCACACAGCAATCAGAAGACGAAACTCATCTTAGTGAGTTTATTTAGGATATTTAGCTATTTCTACATTAATTAAAATGTGGATTTTAAAGAACTCCACAGAGCTGTTGACCAATCTTCAAAACCTTCTTCTAAACGCATTTCTTTAAGAATTTTTCTTTCAGCTTTGTACCATACCAAATTTTAAACTAGAAAGAACGCCTTCGTTCCCTGTCCGTGATAGTTTTCTATTCCACGAAGGTGAAAGGCGGTATCACTGTATGGTTGTAAACTTTACTAAGCGTATTTCGTCCATATCAAAGAAGAAATATACGGAGAACGAAATCATAAAAGTGATCGAGTTTCTGGCTGACAACATCTTCGTCGAGTTTGGTGGTCAGATCTCCCAGCAGGCTATTGGCATACTTGTAGGACCTGACTGTGCCCCTCTGTTGATTGACTTTGATTTTTGCTTTCATATGAGGCTGAATGTATATATCAAAGACGTCTTGTCGTAAAATAACAAGAGATTTATTGACCACATCCATCATACATTTTTTGTATATAAACACTAGAATTGAAAAGTCAACAGGTTCTTCTACATCAGCCGCTCGATCTTTCCCTACAACCGAACCACCATGGGCAGCTTTCAACCAAGTATGGTAAGCATGGTGATATCAATTTCCGTAACCTAAGGTGTTTACATATCGTAGATGGTTCGATATTCAAGGGGTTCTTCCTGTTATCACTTCAGAAATCGTAGAATGACAAACTCGAAACACAGGGTTTTAAATGATGCAGGTTGGTGAAAAAATAGGGAAGTTTTAGTTAAAAGTGATCCCACTGAGAAATTCTACGTCTTTGTACGATATGAAGTTGTATCATGTTCTCAAATAAGAGCATGCTATTACTTACTTGGATTGACCAATATTTACATAGCAGGTGTCGTCGGATAAGCAGCAGATGCTTACATCGGGACATATCTGGCCTTTGAGTTACTAGAAATTTATTGAAAACATCAATTGTATATATCCACCAGAATTGGAAATCTAAGACACGGCAAACTTCTACATCAGCTGCTTATCTCGATCTTTTCTTACAACAAAACCAACATGGACAGCTTTCCTCCAAATTCTATGATACACGT